TGGGAGAATCGCTTGAGCCTGGGAGATTGAGGCTGTAGTGAAATGTGACCATGCCACTGCACTCTGGCCTGGATGACAGAATGAGACCCTGTCTCAAAAAAAGAAAAAAGAAAAGAGGCAAGTTTGTGTATTTTATCACAATGGAAGAGAAAACAACAGAGATCCTCAGGGTTTCCACCCCATTAGTAGTAAATCAGAACAAGTGTGGGGGACAGAAATCTACATTTTTAATGGCTTCTATACACACTATCATTAGAAAACTTTCTTTTTGAATGTGTTTTTTAGAGTATTTCTAAGGTCTTCATAGACTCATGGTCTTTGAGTACCTCTAAAGGGCCATTATAAGGACATCCAAATCTAAGTTATGTCTTCTAAATTATGAGCAGATGGATTTAAACCTGTTGAAATGCAGTCATTTGAACAAAAGTACCAAATGATGCAAACTATCTCTGAAAAAAATCTTCTTTCTTAACAGATAAAAGAGAATATTTTCAGTGTGGTATATATTTAATGTTGAAAGCCCGGGCAACACAGTGAGACCGCTTTTCTACAAAAAATTTTAAAAAATTTAGCCGGGCATGATAGTGCACTACTACAGGCGCGACTACAGCTACTTGGTAGCTGAGGTGGGAGGATCACTTAAGCCAGGGCCAGGGAGGTTGAGGCTGCAGTGTGTTCGTACCACTGCACTTCAACCTGAGTGACAGAGCAAGACTTTGTCTAAAAAAAAAAAAAAAAAAATCGAAGTTAGAAAAATAAAAAGCTACAAGGCTAGTATCAATATTTCCTTTGCCCTCCCAAATACATCCATCATGTAATACACTATTGCTCAAAATTTCTTTAATGGAGGAAAATCTTGCTATGAATCATCCTTTCTAGAAAACAGGCTTTATTCCCTTCTGTTTTCAGTGCCCTCCTGTCCCACCACTTGGCACCAAAATTGGAAGTATATATGAGAGGGGTTAGTTTCCTAAACACAAATGGTCTACTACTATGGCAATTGTTGGTAGGGTGAGTCTTGATTAGGGTATCAGCCTGAATTTTGTTTTGTTTTTGTTTTTGAGACGCAGTCTCGCTCCGTCACCCAGGCAGGAGTACAATGGCACGATCTTGGCTCACTGCAACCTCTGTCTCCTAAGTTCAAGTAATTTTCCCTGCCTCAGCCTCCCGAGCAGCTGGGATTATAATCACTGGCCACCATGCCTGGCTAATTTTTGTATTTTTCAGTAGAGATGGGGTTTCCCCATGTTGGCCAGGCTGGTCTTAAACTCCTGACCTCAGGTGATCTACCCGCCATGGCCTCCCAAAGTGCTGGGATTACAGGCATGAGTCACTGTGCCTGGTCTGAGCCTGAAATTTGAGTTAGCAAAAATTTGAGATGAAAATTTAAAGATTTCACTTTCGATATTTTAATAGTGAAAGGATGACATTATATTGCCATCTCAATAACAAAGTTAAAAACTATGGAAGATTTTTTACTCATCATTGTTTTACAGTGCCACAGAAACGGGAAGTGGGTTGGTGGTTTATTTTTTTTCTTTTTGGTGAATTTTGGATTGCACCAGAACAGACCAGTGAATCATAAATTTTCTGCTGTTTCCTACCTCTTGACTGGTTTAGACAAGTTTGATCTTAGACAAGCTTAATCAAGTGAACTTTTTCCCATATGCTAAACATATATTGATTTGACATACTTGTTGGTGAAATAATCAATAAAAGTGAGTTTAAAGCACTCTGTAAGTGAAAATAAAAAATACTATGCAAAGATTACAACTTGAGTGTATGCTGCTCCTAATTTTATGGTACAGAAAAGAAAAAAGGCCAAAGGCTTTGCAGCTGTTCACTGATTAATCAGAAAGGGATGAAAGAAATTTCCTTTCACATCATAAACTGTCTGATTATGATACTTGTTATGAAAGGGATTTTTTTTTTTTTTTTTGAGGCAGGGTCTAACTCTCAAGCAGGCTGGAGTGCAGTGGCACGATCTTGGCTTACGGCAGCCTCCACCTCTCCAGGCTCAAGCAATCCTCCCACCTCAGTCTCCCGAATAGCTGGGACTACAGGCACACACCACCAGGCCCAGCTAATTTTTTATATAGTTTTTTTGTTTTGTAGAGATGGGGTTTTGCCATGTTGCCCAGGCTGGTCTCAAACTCCTGGATGCAAGCAATCCACCTGCTTCAGCCTCCCAAAGTGCTGGGACTATAGGCATGAGCCACCGCGCCCAGTGGGATTTTTAAAAGAATTTTTCCTATTAGAAGTTCCTAAACTTAAAAAGGCATGAAACTGATATTTTTTAAAGCTCTGCATTTTGATGGGGACAATAAAATCATCTACTATTTGCCCAACAATGCACAGATGCTGAAAGAAGTCTGAGAGGTTAAAACATGCTCCGTGCCCTGGACAATTTTCCAATTTTATTAGGCAATTAAGATATGTGTGTGCTGTAATAATTAGAGAGTATCAAGACAAGCAGGGGCTGAATAGTAATGCATTTGCTAAGTGCTATAGGTGCTCAGGGAAAAAAATACATCAGGGTAACCTGGGAAAAAATCAGTGCAGGGAAGAAAGTGGGAAAAGGGCTAGGCATTTCCTATTCCAAGGTTTGTAGAAAGTACCTGAGTAGAGAAGAAAATTCCAGCATTCCAGAAGAGGTAGACAATTATTGCATAAGCTGGTGAAAAACTCTTTGAAATGTTAAAGTATCAAAATTGTCACTGAGGTCACCAGCCTTTTTCAAATGACCCTATATTAGTGTTTGTAGTGAAGTTGGACTTGCGTGTTCATTTAGTTATACAGCAGGGGATAAAGTTAATTGGTACATTGGGTGCCAGAAACTGGCCCTGAATGCATCCTCTTTCTGTGAGTAGCAGCCAATTGAGATTACAAAGAAAATCTCTGAACAGAAGTGAAGCAGGGTTTTACTACCATTAGGGGAAAGGGGCACATAAAAAGAAGGTTGCCAACCAGTTGGCAACTTTTTTTTCTTTTTGAGATGAAGTCTCACTCTGTTGCACAGGCTGGAGTGCAGGCGTGATCTTGACTCACTGCAACTTCCACCTCCCAGATTCAAGCGATTCTCTCGCCTCCGCCTCCTTAGTAGCTAAGATTACAGGCACCTGCCACCATGTCCAGCTAATTTTTGTATTTTTAGTAAAGACGGGGTTTCGCCATCTTGGCCAGGCTGGTCTTGAACTCTCAAACAGGTAACCAGCAGCGTGGGTGGGGACTGCAGGGAACCAGGCCCTCACCTGACCTCAAGTGATTCCACACCCCTCCTGCTGCCAATCTAGCCAGCTTTTTCTGACACTTAGCAGCAGCAACTGACCCCCACCTCCAACCCACAAACCCAGGTCCCTAGGGGCACAGCTTCTATGTATTCTCTGAAACAACCCCATGTAGAAGCTCTTTCCAATAAGCAAAATAATGAACTCCCAACTAAACACCATTCTAATTTACACCTAAATCACACGAGCATCCTTCTTCTAAGAAGACATGATAATCATTTTGAAAATGATTGTGCCGGGCGCAGTGGCTCAAGCCTGTAATCCCAGCACTTTGGGAGGCCGAGGCGGGTGGATCACAGGGTCAAGAGATCGCGACCATTGGTCAACATGGTGAAACCCCGTCTCTACTAAAAATACAAAAAATTAGCTAGGCATGGTGGCACATGCCTGTAATCCCAGCGACTCAGGAGGCTGAGGCAGGAGAATTGCCTGAACCCAGGAGGCAGAGGTTGTGGTGAGCCAAGATCGTGCCATTGCGCTCCAGCCTGGGTAACAAGAGCGAAACTCCGTCTCAAAAAAAAAAAAAAAAAAAAAAGAAAGAAAGAAAGAAAGAAAAGAAAATGATTGCAAAATTCCCAAACCTGGGGGAAAAAAAAAAAAAACAACAGGCAAGTATCTGGAAATTGGATTACTGTTCTCTAAGACCACTCATCCGTTCAGAGGTATCCAGCACTGGATCCCTGGATTCCCTGGCTTCAACTTCCAAGTGACTCAGACGTGTCCCATTAACAGCCCTTCCTCCTTTTGTCTCCCCGCCTTCACTCCAATGGCAGCAAAGTGTCCCTACCCACCGGACCCCACAGTTTCTTTGTAGACAGCACACATTTCCTGACAGCCAGTCTCAGGTGTTTTGTTGCTGCCCTCCTGTGACCTCCAGACATTGCTCCTCTGGGCCACAGAGGATTTATTTGTTCTGTATAGGGAGGGATGTCAGAAAAACTCGATGATGATGATGATGATTACTATGACATAAGTTGAAGCACTTGTATTCTGGACTCAGTTACTAAATGCTGAACCTGAATTGGTTCCTATAAACCTCATTAAAAAACAAACACCTCAGTGAAGCGGGTACCACACCTACCCCCGCATCCCAGGTGAGGACACAGAGCAGTTAGGCAGCTTGCCAGGTCGCCGACTTCGCTTGCTTTCTTCTTTTCTTCTTTCTTTCTTTTCTTTCCTTACTTTTTCTTTTCTTTCTTTTCTCTCTCTTTCTTCTTCCCCCCCCCCCCTTTTTTTTTTTTTTGAGACAGACTCTCGCTCTGTCGCCCAGGCTGGAGTGCAGTGGTGTGACCTCCTGGGTTCAAGCGATTCTTGTGCTCCAGCCTCCTGAGTAGCTGGGATGACAGGCGCCCGCCACCAAGCCCGGCTAATTTTTGTATTTTCAGTAGAGACGGGGTTTCACCATGTTGGCCAGGCTGGTCTCGAACTGTTGCCCTCAGGCGCTCCGCCCGCTTAGGCCTCCCAAAGTGCTGGTATTACAGGCACGAGCCCACCGCACCCAGCCTGGTCACCTGGTTAATTTACGGGCAGGCCGCCGTTGGAACCCCGCTGGTGTGAGCCCCGGGCAGCGTGGTGCTGGCCCAGGGAACCGCTCGCTCCCCCGCCGCCGCTGGCGTGGCGTCGCGCCTGAGGTAACTTGGATCGCTGGCGCCGCGGGCTACGTTCAGTGGCTGCCAGGGAGACACGTGACCGGCAGCGCGGGCGGGGCCTGCGGGGAGCCCCGCCCCGCCCAGTTAACAGGCGGCCGCGGCGCTGGCGCTCAGTGCGCGGTGAAGCTGTCGGACGGGTTGGCGTCCGGCGAGCGAGGCCATGGCCACGGTGCGGGAGAAGGCTGCCGCGCTGAACCTCTCTGCTCTCCACGGCCCCGCGCACAGGCCTGCCGGTAGGTGCCGAGGACCCCTGCCCGGGACGGCGCGGGGCGGGCTGGGGTGCGCGGGCTGGGTCCAGGCGCGGGGCATTCGGCCGCCTGCGGCAGGCAGCGGCCGGCTGGGCGAGCCCCGCACAGCTGCGGCCACTTGGCTAGCCGGAGCCGAGCGGGCGGATCGGGTTTCTCTCTGGCTGGTGGGCGCAGGCGGCAGACCCCGCCCGCACAGCCCAGCTTTTTCTCAAACTCTCAACTTGCCCTCGCGTTAGTCTGTGCGCCCGGTAACGTGCCAGGCACGCGCCGGGGAGCTCCGGGACGTGCCCCGCGGTGCTACCGGCGACAGATGTGGTAACTGGGATTTGTGTAGCTCTTTGCCCCCTGTGTCAACCCCAAACCTTGACTGCGCAGTACGGCCAGGGGCCGAGCGCCTCCCTTCCTCACTTTGTTCTCCAGACTGCAAGGAGTCAAGAGTCAGCTTGTCTCCCCAGACTCTTCCTGGGAGGGATGGGAGGATATGTGAGTTCTACCGGCAGGAATTTGGCATAAAAGATATTTATTAATACTTTATGTATAAGCAGTATTTTAGTGAATAGAAGTTTTTGACTTAAAAAAAGTTACATGAAATTAAGAGAGAAGTTGGCAAATTCTGCCACCAGCTTAATCGTGTCTTTTGGGGGCAGTTGATTTAGGATCCTGGTTTCTTCAAATGTTCAAACACTTCAACAGAATGGGATGATCACTTGTAAAATGCTGGTTACAGCAGACCTACAACTCAGTTAATAGGGGTGACTCATAACTGTTAAGATACTAAGATAACACTCGGCTTTTTTTCTTTTGGTTAAGGTAACAACCTTTTCCCCTTTCTGGAGCTCCAGTCTGGGGTGTCATAGGAATTGGTTCCCTTTCTGACAAAAGCCTTTCATTTGTAAAAAACACCAGTGAAACTGTGATTCCTTCCTCTGGGTGTAAAGGGTGCATCTCTGTGGTCCTACTCTTGTGGTTGACTTGCTAATGCTCCTTTTAATCTTCAAAATGCTAATGATAGATTATGATAGAGAACTATTTTTCACTTGTTCTTTTCTAAGAAACATAATATTGACCTTAGTCTGCTCCCATGTAAAGGATTCAGATAAGCATAGTGGCCACATTGAGAATATTTCGATTTATGTTGTGAAAAGACAAATACTAAGACATTTGGGAATTTAAAACCAAATGATATTGAGAACAGTCTGGAGAAATCTTTTTCCACTCAGTCACCACTGTCCAGTTTTAACACCATAAACACAATTCTCTTTACATTTATCTATTTTCATGAGGTTTTGGTTAATGTCCAACAAATGTCCTTTTTCTTTGCTGTCTTGACAATTCTGTAATCTTTTAAAATCTCTTTTGAAAAAAAAATCTTAAAATTAAATACTAAGTGATTTAGGATTTATAGATTTGTTATTTACTGATGAAAAGTTAAAGTGAAGGAAATTCCCGAATGTCACCTGCTTAAAATAAAAACATGATACCCTGTCTTCTCTAGTAGCTGAAATTCTGGGTCTTTGGGCATTTGTGAACAGGTTCTTAGATGGTGTAAGGGAATATGTTTTCGGAAATCAAGCAGATGACTCTCAAAAGAAAGAGTTGAAGTGCTGGTTATCAGGAGTAGAAGGGGAAAAAAACCCACCGTCCTCCGCACACCAGCTGCAGTGGACAGTGAGGGGCCCGCTGCTGTTCTCATTCGTTTTGCTTGCTACCGCTGGAATCCCGACCTGGTATCCTGACCTGGTAACGTTTGTTAGCCTTTCTTTCACCCTTTAGATGTCTTGTCATAGTCCCAGTTAGCCAAGTAATGGTAGCACACTGTTCTTGGTTCCTGGCCATTGTTTTTCTATGTGCTCTGGCAGGCAGCTTCATACTTTTGTTTCTCCACCAATTAGTAGCTCTCCCTTACCTCAAAGGGGCTGTAATGACCAAGGACCTGATTTATGTACAAGAAATGAGATCTACATGCCAGTCTTCAGCCAGTACATTAAAGACACTTGTCTTTTAATGTGACAAACAAGAAAGTGGTCTGTTTTCCTGTTATCCATTTATACTGTAACCTAATTCTTTGCGTTTGCCTGGTATCACTTTTCCAGGGAGCTCAAAGTACTTCCCATATGCTGTCTCATTAATCTGTGTGAATTAAAGCAGGCACTAATGTCTGTTTTTGTTGATAATTCTTATAGATACTTACAATTTTTCTTGTTTGTAGAGACTTCTTTTACCTACCTGCACCCTTCTTTGTAGAGGCAATCACAGTCTTCAGCATGATGCTTCTAATACCAACTAGCAGGAAAATAAACTTTGGACTACCAGAACCAATATCCAGTAAAAGTGTTGCAATCTTGGGATCATAGTATAGGAAATTTTTCCACTCAGTCTCCACTGTCCAGTTGTAACAGCATAAACACAATTCTCTTTACATTTGTCTATTATTTTAATGTTTTGGTTACTGTCCAACAAATATCCTTTTTCTTTGTTGTCTTGACAATTCTGTAATCTTTTAAAACCTCTTTTGAAAAAAAAATATTTCTTAAAATTATGTTAAATCCTAAGTGATTTAGGATTTATAGATTTGTTATATTCTGCTGAAAAGTTAAATCCTCTGGTATGTGCCACATCTTGTCTTCTCAACTCCTGGTGGCCTTTATGTGGTTGAATACTGTTCAGAGATTGACATTATCATCCAGGTAGTAGGAGTAGGTAAAAGGTAAACTCCCAAGGTTGGGGATAGTATGGTCCATTTGTCATAATTAATGAACCAATATTGATACATATAATTATTAACTGAAGTCCACACTTAGATTTCCTTGGTGTTTGCCTAATGTTGTCTTCCAAGATCCCATCCAAGATACTATATTACCTTGAGTTGTCAGGTTTCCTTAGACTCTTCTAGACTGTGACAGTTTTCTCCTTTTGTTTTTAGTGATACATCTGTTAATTTCTGGGCATTTTGCTAGACACATTAACATATTGTCTCATGATCCTCACAGTGAATGAGAAAAGTGGAGTTAGCTCTGTTTTGCAATAGAAAAGTTAGGCAGTTTGCCCAAGATTGTGTTATCAGTAAATGATGGACCCAGTGATGGAACTCAGGTCCCTGGGACTGCAAAGTCCACACTGTTAGTCTAAGTCTTTGTAGTCACAGCACCTAGGACTGTCTGTTGCATTAGCACAGGTTTCCATGTCTGAACAGTCTTCAGTCAACCCAAGGTTTCTTAACCTTGGCACTATGGATGTTTTCTTTGTAGTGGGGGCTGTCTGTGCATTGTAGGATGTTTAGTAGCATCTGGGTGTGGTGGCACACACCTGTATTCCCAGCTGCTCAGGAGGCTGAAGCAGGAGAATCGATTGAACCCAGGAGACGGAGGTTTTAGTGAGCCAAGATCGCACCACTGCACTCCAGCCTGGATGACAGAGCAAGACTTTGTTTCAAAAAAGAAAAAAACAGATTTTTAGTAGTTGGCAATAATCAGCAACTAACAAATACTGACTAACCAATTGTATTATATTGAGGCAATCTTGAGGCAATCTGTAAGGCAATTAAATAATTTAAACCTCTATAAACTGTAAGGAATCTGAAAGAAATCAGGCACTAGCTCACAAAGTTTTATGGAAAAACATCAGCTATCTGGATTCAGTTCCCCTTTTTTTTTAAAGTCCAGTCTAAAGCCCAAGAATGAAAACAAAATTGTTTTATGTTCATTAAGAGGTAGTGTGTTTTAGTAATTCTGTGTGTATGTTTACCTTACATTGGGATCCAATTTTATAATGTGTATATTGATCTACTTCTAAAGATTTAATCTCACTATTTGAAGTGATTATACAATTGTTTTCCCTTTGAATAGGTTTTCATAGTAGGACTAGAGTTGCTGACAGGATGGATTATGGTTGATGCTGATTATCCCTAATTTTTGGATAAATGTAATTTCCTGAAATTTTTAGGGAATTATTATAACTTGATTATTTTGTGTGAATTCTTAGAAGTGAAGATGTTTACTACTGGCACTACACACACATATATAAATGTTCAATATTATCTTAGAAGTTTAACTTTTATTGTTGGTAAGCTTTTTTTTTGGTAGTGTTCGAATACATGTGAAGGACAGCTTTTGAAAAATAGCTATAGTTTGCAAGCAAATAAGGATGAGACTGCTTGAAAAATGAAGGTTAAGGGATGGAGGCAGCAAACCACATTTCCATGTACTGTATGTACCTATGCAACAGTCCTGCATGTTCTGCACATGTACCCCAGAACCTAAAGTGCAATAAAATATATGGTTAACCTAGATTTATATAGTGCATGAGACCATGTGTTGTATGTTAGGTAATTAAATGATTTCTGAGCCTCATTAGGCAACCTTCCAAAAAAGTTATGTATCTTGTAGGGTCAGATTTGTCCGTATGCTTCCTTTCTTGCCTGTAAGTCTGCCATATTAGGTGTTCAGTGTCCTTATCTAAATGGATGACATACAATTTCAGTCTTTACATTCCCATAGTCAGCAGTTTATTTAAAGACAGGGTCTCTGTCACCCAGGCTGGAGTACAGTGGTGCAGTCTTAGTCCACTGTAACCTCAAACTCCTGACCTCAAGCAATCTTCCCACTGTGGCCTCCCAAAGTCCTGGGATTAGAGGAGTGAGCCACTATGCCTTGCCTGGTAGTTTCGACCTGAAACTAACCTAAAATACTGTGTTCAACTATTTTATCAGTAGATAAAGAACCTACAGAGATTGTCTCTTATGCAGAGTTTTTATAGCTGATCTCTGTTTAGAACTGAAACTAACCTAAAGTATTGTGTTCAACTATCAGTAGATGAAGAAACCTAATTACAGAGATTATCTGTTATCCAGAGTTTTTACAGTTGATCTCTAAACTCTTTGACTCCATTTTTCATGATGCTTTTAGAAAATACTTGACCAAATGTAAGTAAGGAAGCATCAAGATGTAGATAGTGATGGATTTTAAATGGTTGTTTAGCTTATGTAAAAGTGAGGTTTGAGGACAAGTTGAACCCTTAATTCTGATTGCAAGATTTAAAAAACATTCATTGTCTTTTTCTGTTCTCTTAAATCCTGTTTAGAAATCACAGTAAATCATTTTACTGGGCCGTCATCTGCTATCCCAATATTCATCTCAGCTTTTAGATGATGATAAATAAGTTAAAAACATGTGAGGGATATGTGTTCAACTGGTGAAGTCAGCATTTAAAAAAGCAGGTTATCCTGGTAGGGGTTTTGGCACATTTACTTGTAAAGTCCAGGGTATGTTGTATATATGAAAGCATCTGTATGAACATGAGCTAGTTTGGGTCTGTGGGTGGTGGTGCTTGAAGGGAAGTATCCCAGGATGCAATGGTTGGGAATTAATGGTCAGTGAGAACAGAGGGGGCCTGTGAGGGCTGTATTGTATCATGCCTGGAGGATTCTGGAAACGTGTGTTTCACAAATGCCTACTATTCTGCTCTAACCAGTTCTTTAATCTTTTATACAGTCTTATCCAACCTGTAAAACCTCCTGATTTCCCACAAGTTAATATGGGGAAATTTATTCTTTACCTCTTAATTCCTCTGTGAGGATTAGCCCTTTCTACTCATTGAGGCCAAATATCCCCTCTCACCACACTCTTCAGCTGTCTTAGTGGTCTGTAATTAATAAGTGACTCAGCTGGCTAGGTGCGGTGGCTCATGCCTATAATCCCATGACTTTAAGAGGCTGAGGCGGGTAGATCACGAGGTCAGGAGTTCAAGAACAGCCTGGCCAAGATGGTGAAAGCCCGTCTCTACTAAAAATATGAAAATTAGCCGGGCATGGTGGCGTGCACCTGTAATCTCAGCTACTCAGGAGGCTGAGGCAGGGAATTGCTTGAGCCTGGGAGGTAGAGGTTGCAGTGAGCTGAGATCATGCCACTGCACTCCAGCCTGGGTGACAGAGCAAGACTCCATCTCAAAAAAAAAAAAAAAAAAAAAAAGTGACTCAGCCTTATCATTTAGGATTTGTATGCTAACCTACTTGTAGCTCAAGTGTTGTGACTTAATGTGTTTCATCTTTATATTATCTGTCACTAGCCCAAAAGTCTGTCCCATTGATACTTAAAAGGCAGGCTGATCTAAGTTTGAATCTTGCATGTCTTCCTTTTCCTGTCTTACCCCTGTGTATGTACTGTGGTAGTGTTTATTACAGACTTTATGATATCCTGCCTTGTTTTAGGAGTATTGACTATTTTTAAATAGCTTAGTTAAGGGTTCTTAGAGTTCGTTTTATCTCTTGAGTCTCTTAAAGCTGTTTCACTTAATCCAAGTTTCCAACGAAAGGTTAATGCTTAAACAACTTATCTGGTGGCTGACTTTTCATGTATTTATATTTAAGTACTAGAAAAAACAAGTATATATTTATTAGCTGTCTAACTGAGGGCAGGTTTAAGTCACTGAGCCTCAATTTCCTCAAAATAGGATTATTAATCATTTTGCAGAGAAGCTTATCAGAACTAAATGAGGGAAGACAGAACCTGTCATAGTGTAAATACTCAGATGTTAGCTATGAATAATAAAGATTTGAAAAGTTAAGCAGAAATTGTTTGTTTAAATCTTATTTATGATCTCTGGTATTTTAGGAAGTTAAGAATACTAGTCGCTAACAATGTTTAGGCATTGTGGCTGGAAACAGTACAACTACTCCTGAGTTCTGGATACCAGGAATGACCTGGACTGACTTTGAGATTCCATTAAATGCCTCATTCTTGCTGTGTTCAGCAGAGACTAAATACTACACCAGTAGTAAATCTAATTCCAGCTTTATTCATCAGGTCAATTCTCCATAATTCAGTTCCTGAAACAGCTCACATTATATTTGGAAGACTGGCAACAATTACTTCCATCTTTGTTTAGTACTGGCATATGAAATATCTTCAAATTTAAAACACAATTTTGACAATCTTGCTGATCATTTTAAACCAACATTATAATAATGGGGAGGTGGTAAATTACCCATCTATTTTTGGTATTAGAAATATATCATTAAACAATAAAGGGCTGTGTGTTTGTGTGTGTGTTATTTTCACTGTAAAGATGTTTGAATTGCTAGCAGCTATAGAAAAAAGATGTTTAAATAGCTAGAAGCTACAGAATTATGCTACCAGTGAAAACAATGTAATGGTTCAGTGTATTCCTTGTATTTATTGCAACGTAAGAGATGAATTTCAAATTACCCACTTATAACTTATGGCTAGTGCATTAAGAGGAGTTTTTAGAAGTCTCACTCTGTCACCCAGGCTGGAGTGCAGTGGTGTGATCTTGGCTCAGTGCAACCTCCACGTCCCGGGTTCAAGCAGTTCTCTGCCTCAGCCTCACAAGTAGCTAGGATTATAGGCGCCTGCCACCATGCCCAGCTAATTTTTGTATTTTTAGTAGAGAAGGGGTTTCACCACGCTGACCAGGTTGTAAGAGGAGTTTTAATGTCCTTCAGAAGCTTATCTTATGCTTTCATCTTCCTACACATTCTATTTTGCCTAAAAAAGTAGGAAGATAATTTCAAGTAGCAATTTCTTTAATCATAATTCCCTGTTTTCCTTACCATTGTACTCATGCATATGATCTTCTTTTTTAGACTATCTTAAAGGAAGTAATAACTTCAACTTCTCTCCCAAAATATCTTAAAAATAAAGGAAGTAATATACTTAACATAAATGGGGGCTTAAATTAGGACTGCTGAATTTTCAGAGGATCACTGAAAAGTGTAACACATTAAAGGTTATACTCTTTATGAAAAGAAAGAGACAGCCAGCCAGCACCAGGTGGGTGATTTGCTAGAATTCGTTCCATCAGTTTACAAAAACCTAAGACCTGTTGATTGCCAAATATCTGTTAATTACAATGATGAAAAATATAATCGGATATTTTTGAAAGTTTGTTTTCACCTTTGTGTTTGGCAAAAATCTTGATTTACTTCTGTGCCTATTCTGTCTTTGTAGTAGGTCATAAGCTCCTACAGGGCAGGAACCAAATTTTTTACTTTACCCTGCATACAAAGTATATTTAACTAATAAGCCTGGGTAATAGGAGGCTTTAAAAATACTAGTTTATTCCTGCAATGATTGTGTGCCTGTATGTGTGTATATAGTTATGCATAGCGTGACGGGGATATGTTTTGAGAAATGTATTGCCAGGCGATTTCACTGTTGTGCAAATATCATAGTGTATATGGTACAGCCTACTACATACAGCCTACTACTACTATACCTTGATTGTACAGCCTACTACAAATATAGTGTGTATGGTACAGCCTACCACTGTACCTTGATGGTACAGCCTACTAAACACCTAGGCTATGTGGTATGGCCTGTTGTTCCTTGGCTATAGACCTGTGGAGTGTACCGAATGCTGTAGACAGTTGTACCACAATGATAAGTATTTGTGTATCCAAACATAGAAAAGGTACAGCAAGAGATAGGAGCAGGAAATTTTAAGTTCCATTATAATTGCACAGGACCACTGTTATATGTGGCCCATTGTTGACAGAAATGTTTTGTGGTGCATGACTCTGTGTGTGACTCATAAGTACTTCAAAGTTACCTAAAACATGAGTCAAGTCCCAGTACTACCTCTTTCAATATAATATCTGGAAGTGACATGTAACCTCTGTGATTCTGTTATCCATCTCTCAAATGGAAACAATACATACCTCATAGGTTGCTACTGAAGATTAGACAATTTATAAGGCATGTAATAGAATTCTTCTACATAACTGGTAACTGCCACAGGTCCTACTTGATGTGGCCTCCTAACTCCCAGTCTCAAACCCCAGCCCCACTCCCTCCTTGATCTAACTACCTGTTCTTCTCTCCCTCCCCACACCACTCTGGCTGTGCTGACTTCCTTCCTATATCCTATGGAGCACATTCCCAGCTCAGGACATTTGCTTTCTGTTTTCCCTGCTTTTCCCCAGATGTCTACATAGCTTGCTCCTTGCTTTTTGGTTTTACTTGAGTTTCCATGCAGGTATAACCTTACCACACAGGTCTTTCCTGACATCCCATTTAAAGTAGCATTCCTTATCTCACCTAGCTTTGTTTTTCTTCTTAGCACTGATCTAACACATATGGATTATGTGTATCTTCCTACAAAGTCTTAAGTTCCTGAGAACAGAGATCTTATTTTGCTTACTGTTGTATCTTAGCACATAGAAGTGTTTAGTATATAATAAGTTCTGATTTTTTAATGCATTGCTATTAGTAACAGTATTTCTATAAGCAACCCTCATAATTGCTCTTTATCAATAACTTTGGACATTACTACGTTTTTGCCTAAGGATTGCTTAGACCTTATTACAAATGAACAAGGTACTAAATCCCAGTTTCTGTATGATTTTTCTCCTTCTAGGTTTCAGTGTAGCTCAGAAGCCATTTGGAGCCACATATGTATGGAGCAGCATCATAAATACTCTTCAAACACAAGTGGAAGTGAAAAAACGAAGGCACCGTTTAAAACGACACAATGACTGCTTTGTTGGTTCGGAAGCTGTGGATGTCATTTTTTCTCACCTACTTCAGAATAAGTATTTTGGTGATGTGGATATTCCTCGGGCCAAAGTGGTTAGAGTGTGTCAGGCGCTTATGGACTACAAAGTATTTGAAGCAGTTCCAACCAAAGTCTTTGGAAAAGACAAAAAACCTACATTTGAAGATAGTAGTTCCAGCCTTTATAGATTCACAACAATACCTAACCAAGACAGTGAGTCAGGCAAAGAGAACAAACTGTATTCACCTTCCAGGTTAGTATATAATGTTAGATTATCATGGGGATATTGGCAAGGTTCTGTCTACCTTTTTATGAGATGTCGACTGGCTTTATATTTACATTTTTAGCATTAAACGTGGCTAAAATATGGGTCTGTGGGTAAATTTGATAAAGTACAATGAAATTTTGTTGACTTTTTTGGGTCTCTCCTAGTTGTATTTAGCAGAAGCAGTCAACACACTTTTGATTTGCCTGCTTCAGGTTATAGTTACAGTGTAAAAAATGTTCTCATACCAAGTGGTATGAGAACACAGCGAAGGCAGACAGAGAGAAACCCAGATTGCGGTGGGAGGGAAGAAGGAATCATTTAAAGGAAAACTGGGGAAACAGAATTGTGGAATCCAGTGATTGAAATGGATGTGGTGATAAGTGCATAATGAACTTACAGCTACTTGTGAAGTAAACCAACTTTACCTTTTCCCCTTTGTTACCCTCAGCTAAACTGTGCAGAGGTGACACAGAGGTATAATTGAAGCTCTTCTAATTCAGATCTGACCTAAAGTCAGAATTTTAATTATTCATTTTTAAATATATGTCTGTGTCTCTCTGTGTATGTGTGCATGCATATATATATATTTGAGACAGAGTCTTAGTCTCGTACCCAGACTGGAGTGCAGTAGTGTGGTCTCAACTCACTGCAGCCTCTGCCTCCTGGGCTCAAGCGATTCTCCCACCCTAGCCTCCCAGTAGCTGGGACTGTGGGCATGCATCACCATGCGGATAATTTTTTTTTCTTTTTTTCTGTAGAGACAGAGTCCCATTATGTCGTCCAGGCTAGTCTCAAACTCCTGGGCTCAAGTGATCCTCCTAAAGTGTTGGAATTACAAGCGTAAGCCACAGCACCTGACCCATTTTTACATTTTTTTTTTTTTTTTTTTTGAGACAGAGTTTCGCTCTCATTGTCCAGGCTGGAGTACAATGGTGTGATCTTGGCTCACCGCAACCTCTTCCTCCTGGGTTCAAGTGATTCTCCTGCCTCAGCCTCCTGAGTAGCTGGGATTACAGGCATGCACTACCACGCCTGGCTAATTTTGAATTTTTAATAGAGACAGGGTTCTCCACATTGGTCGGGCTGGTCTCGAACTCCCAACCTCAGGTGATCTGCCCGCCCCGGCCTCTCAAACTGCTGGGATTATAGGCATGGAGCCACTGCGCCCAACCCCATTTTTACATACTTTTAACCCAATCTAAAACATGATAAAATGTACCTCTATGTGTAGAAAGGAAACATGAGGATAAGGTAAAGTCACAGTTAACACTTTCAGATGCAGGTCCACACACTTTAAATGAAATCCTTAGGACCAGATGCATTTAGGAATTTGGAACTTTGGAGCATTTAGAAAAGTTACCTTGTGCATATATATGGTTCAGCACCCCTACAGGCATCTGGGACAGCTCTGGTAATCAAGCATAATGATATTTCTGTGGTAAACAGAAGAATATACTAACCAGGATAAATAAAAGCTGACAGTGTTGGGACAGGTTTTGTCACAATATGAGCTCTAAATAAACTTGATTTTCAAAGCTTTTTGGGTTTCAGAATTGCAGGTAAAGGGCTATAGATCTGTATTTAGAAAACTGTAAGCATTGTCCACCAAAGAATGCCCCAGAAAAAGAGAACTGATAAAACCAGTACTAATAATTAAGTTCACTTATGTTTGATCGCATTTTTAAACTGGTGACTTAAGATTTTAGTCATTGAATTACTTAAATCTAAGAAAATGTTTAAAGGAGAACAAAATAGGTTTATGCTTGAGTAAGAAGGTGGGTGTTTTCGTATTTTATTCCACTCTTAGAATTTGCATTTGTTGTGTTTTTGCTCTGAAATGCATAACTCTGCAGAAACCCTTAGCTCTCAAATACTAAAATATTTCTGTGGGCTTAGTAAATGTTCATTTCTGAAATGAATTCATTTTAGGTATGCAGATGCATTATTTAAGTCATCCGATATCAAATCAGCCAGTTTAGAGGAACTATGGGAAAATCTGAGTTTAAAGCCTGCCAACTCCCCTCATGTAAATATCTTTGCAACCTTATCTCCACAAGGTAAGTGAAAGATGAAACAAAGTAAGAAGTAGAAGACTAACTTCAAAGTTATTTAAAATTTTTAAATCTTAACCTTTATTAGAATTTAAATATTCGAAGGCCGGGCGCGGTGGCTCAAGCCTGTAATCCCAGCACTTTGGGAGGCTGAGGCGGGTGGATCACGAGGTCAAGAGATCGAGACCATCCTGGTCAACATAGTGAAACCCCGTCTCTACTAAAAATACAAAAAATTAGCTGGGTATGGTGGCGCGTGTCTGTAATCCCAGCTACTCAGGAGGTTGAGGCAGGAGAATTGCCTGAACCCAGGAGGCGGAGGTTGCGGTGAGCCAAGATCGCGCCATTGCACTCCAGCCTGGGTAATGAGCGAAACTCTGTCTCAAAAAAAAAAAAAAAGAATTTAAATATTCGAAGTACAGAGAAAGAGTACACTCTGTATTAAAGCTGTTTATGTTCAATTTTAACAGAAGTCTTTTATCTTTAACAAATAGATCAGTGTTACAACTCTTGAACACTGACTTTTGTCCGATCAGCTGGCAAAGGTTCAGATCTGAGATGTTTTGCATGCAGATTTGTATTGAAAATATGCTCTCAGATATTTCTTTTTTTTTTTTTCCTTTCTTAAACATGAAATTTTTCACAAGTTATTTCTTTTACTAAGATTTTATTTGGTCAAATAAAATTTGAAAATTACATTAAAACATTAACAGAATTCTTTGGTTCTTCCGTGTCTGTGGCAGTGGAATATAGTTTAATGACTTTGATTTCCGCCCTCTTTCCCCCATGCCAGTTGTGGAAACCCTGAGTGGAATAATCTGCAGCCAATGGTTTCAAACAAGTTTTTAGCTTGAATGAATCATTCTTTCTTCCAAAGTCCTTATTAACATGTTATATGACTTGATCTCTTATCTCTGACAGATTGCTTTTTACAGTACAAAGAATGAAAAGAATTCCTGTTCTCCAAAGCCTATTCTCCTACACTCTAAACAAATCTTGGATTGTTTTACTTTGTTATAAGAAAGCACTTCATAAGGTTGACTTTTTCTTTCTTTTTGGCCACAAATTTACTAGCTTAGACCTGATTAGAAAAATATTGTGGTGAGTCTATAGTAACTATTAATTGTTACTTTTCACCTTGTAATTTTGCCTGTGTAGTTATTAATGAAGTATGGCAAGAAGAAACAATTGGGCGTCTACTACAACTTGTAGACCTTCCACTTCTTGACTCCTTACTCAAACAGCAAGAGGTTGTTCCTAAAGTTCCTCAACCTAAGAGGCAGTCCGACGTGGTCAACAGCAGTAACTATCTGGATCGAGGGATTCTCAAGGCTTATAGTGACTCTCAGTATGTGGAAATACATATAATAATTTGAGTGTGTTTGTACATGGATTGAGATAATGATTTTAAGATAATCTGTTCTACTTTTTATAGGATCAGATATGCATTGTTAGTTGATATCAGTATTTGAGAATGTGAAGAACAGAATTACATTAGTCAAAATTAGAAAAAGATTTGCTCATTTTTGATATTTATTTTTGTTTCACATGTAACTTCCACATTAAGTGAAGACAATGATTGTGCTTTAGCTTCTTGTCTTTGTTAAAACGTTGAGCTGTCTGGTCTCAAGATTCCTCAAAGGGACCTGGAAGAATAGAAACAGATTTGACAGATTCTCGAGATCCTTTGACTACAAATCTAGAATGCCGGTTACATATGTATTTCATTAACTAGTTGTATTAAATGCAATGAGGCCAGGTGCGGTGGCCCACACCTGTAATCCCAGCACTTTGGGAAGCCAAGGTGGGCCAGTCAACTAAGGTCAGGAGTTCAAGGCCAGCCTGGCCAACATGGTAAAACGCCATCTCTACTAAAAATACCAAAATTGGCCAGGTGTGGTGGCACATAATCCCAGTTACTTGGGAGGCTGAGGCAGTAGAATCACTTGAACTCGGAGGCAAAGGTTGCAGTGAGCTGAGATCATGTCATTGCACTGTAGCCTGGGTGACACAATGAGACTTCATCGCAAAAATAATAATAATAATAATAATGAAAGTTAACTCTTACTTCCAGTTAATACTCTCTTGAAAATAAATTCTAAGGTTTGAAGGCTTAAATTTAGGTGCTAAAGGAATTAAGATTTTTTTCCTTAAGGAAGAGTTCTGTATTACTCATAATTTTGAGGCTCTTCATAAAAATTATTAAAAGTTAAAGTAAGTTCTCAGATTTTTTGAGCCTAATTTTTTATTATTTTTGCCTTAGCAGATAGTGTTCCCGTCTAGTTAAGGGGCTGAAAATGTTTGAAAGGAATACAACTTAGATTTTCAATACTTCACTAGTTCACGTTCCAAAGAACTGTTAATACTATAAACAGTTGACTATCAAAAGGCTGCTTTTAAAGCCTTATAAAATGACCTGCCTGAGATATCTCACCTGGCCGAATTAGTTGTCCTGAGTCCATGGCAATAGAGAGACAGACAAGATAGATATCAACAAACTGAATATTAAAAGTTTGCCACTTTATTTCTTGAAATGTAACATGTTTCTGAAGTTACCCAGCAGAATTTTACTGTAGATTATAATATTTAATTATTTTGTTGGTTTCTTTTTTGAGATAGGGTCTCATTCTGTTGCCCAGGCTAGAGTGCAGTGGCATGATCTTGGCTCACTGCAGCCTCTGCCTCTCAGGTTTAAGCAATTCTCCCACCTCAGCCTCCCAAGTAGTATGGATTACAAGGGCGCACCACCATGCTGAGCTATTTTTTTTTGCATTTTTTTTTACTGCATTTTAGGTTTTGGGGTACATGTGAAGAACATGCAAGATTGTTGCATAGGTACACACATGGCAGTGTGATTTGCTGCCTTCCTCCCCATCACCTATATCTGGCATTTCTCCCCATGCTATCTCTCCCCAACTCCCCACCCCTCGCTGTCCCTCCCCTATTTCCCCCCAACAGACCCCAGTGTGTGATGCTCCCCTTCCTTTGTCCATGTGTTCTCATTGTTCAACACCCACCTATGAGTGAGAACATGCAGTGTTTGATTTTCTGCTCTTGTATCAGTTTGCTGAGAATGATGGTTTCCAGGTTCATCCATGTCCCTACAAAGGACACAAACTGTAGATATGGGATTTCACCATGTTGGCCAGGCTGGTCTTGAACTCCTGACCTCAGGTGATCCACCTGCCTTGGCCTCCTAAAATGCTGGGATTACAGGGATGAGCTACCACGCCAGGCTTGATATGTAATTATTTTGAAATGTTACCTTCTTCTATTCTATCTTAGCTAAAGGGAGAGCTAATAGATCATACACAGAGCTCTGAAGTAAGCAACACTGTGTTGGAGAAATACTGGCTCAGCACTTAGATCTGGGATCTAGCCCTGCCTGAGGCCTGAGCAAGTAACTTGGAGTTTCTTCTCCATTGTAAATGTGAAGAGCAAGAGCAGAGTCTGAATTTGTATGCTCTTTTTCACCTCTGTATTGTGGTGAAGAGTTTGTTTTCATGAAAAAGGAAAAAATAAAACATTAAGCTGAAATTTTTAAAATGTGCTGCATGATCTAGCTATACATTAAAAAAAATATGTATCTCTTAAGCATGTAGAAATTTATCCTGATGGCAAGCTTGAAATAACTAGTGTGTATTTATGTATATTTGTTATTCTTTGCTTTTTAAAATAATCTTCCTCTCTCCCCTATAGGGAAGATGAGTGGCTCTCTGCAGCAATTGACTGTTTGGAATACCTTCCGGACCAGATGGTGGTAGAAATAAGCAGAAGCTTTCCTGAGCAACCAGACCGAACAGACTTAGTGAAAGAACTTCTGTTTGATGCCATTGGCAGATACTACAGTAGTAGGAAACCTCTGTTGAATCATTTATGTGATGTTCATAATGGAATTGCAGAACTCTTAGGTAAGATCTGATTAGATGATAGCATTTACCTTTTGGAGGAAACAAGAAAAAAGTTACTTGTTCTCAAACTGAATCAAAATAGTACTACTACAAGCTGGGAGTGGATCTGGATTAATTCATGGAAAATGTTTGTTCAGAAACTTCTAGGGCTGATTTGGAAAGATGCTTTAACAAGCTCTAAAGTTATACAGAAGCTTCTGAGTACCCAGGAGCATAATGCTGCTCTCTCTCATTCACCGGAAGCTAAAGCATAAAGCAGCAATTCTCTTCTTTAGAAGAGTTACCAGCACCACCATTACTCCCCCTTCGTCTCTTCAAAATGGCAGACTCTCTGCTTTGTCTCTTTACCAATGAGCCGCATAATTTGTTGTAAACAAATTGGAAGTTTCAGAAAATTCCTATTTTTCTCAAGTAGAGTTGGATACATGAGTATTGTACACATGGTATACCCCCAAATGTACTAATTAATGAAAAACGGAATGGGAATTTATCTACAGACCTGAGTTAGATTTAATGCCTGAAGATATTACATGACAGGGACTTAGGGTGTTAGTTGCCAATTTGAGAACAAGCTGCCTTTATGGTATCGACCATTCATTGTTAATTCCTAGTCTTGCTTTTGCTTTTGGAAATAATTTTGAATAAGTGCACTTTTTAGCTCAAACTGTAACTTGAGTTTTGTTCCCTTTAATATAGTCATATTTAGTCAATTAAAAGCAGTTTTTTCTTTTGGCTAAAGTGAATGGGAAGACAGAAATAGCTTTAGAAGCTACTCAGCTCCTTCTAAAGCTTTTGGATTTCCAAAATAGAGAAGAATTTAGAAGACTACTATATTTCATGGCTGTTGCAGCACATCCTTCTGAGTTTAAATTACAAAAAGAAGTAAGTCTTTTGTTTAAATGTTAGTTGTATTTAATATCCTTAATACTTATAGATTAAGTATTAGATTATTCCATCTTCAGCATCAAGTATGCTGAAATGGATAATAGCTATTAATATTTAATATTCCCTTTTATACTAAACTTGTCTCTTAAATATTGGATATATTTATTTTTATAGAGTGACAACCGAATGGTTGTGAAAAGGATATTCTCGAAAGCTATTGTTGACAATAAAAATTTATCCAAAGGCAAAACAGATCTTCTGGTACTCTTTTTAATGGATCATCAAAAAGATGTTTTTAAGGTAAAATTGTGAAAGAAGTTAAATTGAGCTTTATGTAATAGATCATTAGATTAAAATGCATTTGAGTAATGTCCCATGTCCCTTCTTTTTCTTAAGATTCCTGGAACTCTACATAAAATTGTAAGTGTTAAGCTTATGGCCATACAGAACGGAAGAGATCCAAATAGAGATGCAGGTAATCTGAGAAATACTATTTTCATGATCTTCCAAAGACAAATTTCAGGTGTTTTTGGAAAATGTTTTGCTATAAGTAGTTGGACTTTAATTTCAACCAAATTTAAAACATTCTCCTCAGTTATTCAGACTAAGTAACTTGACCAGGGTTAGAAAGTCAGCAGTGTTTACCATCTTCAGTACATACTACAAAATGGGGAAGAAAAACATAAAGACAAGAATATTGCTTGATTTTTCTGAGGAACTGAATCATTAACTTTTTTTACTTTTAAACTTTAAGGATATATTTACTGCCAGAGAATTGATCAACGTGACTATTCCAGCAATACACAGAAGACAACCAAAGATGAGCTGTTGAATTTACTAAAAACTATTGATGAGGATTCAAAACTTCCTGCCAAAGAGAAGAAAAAATTGCTAGGTCAATTCTATAAGTGTCACCCAGACATCTTTATTGAGTATTTTGGAAACTAAGTTTTTAATGTCTGTATGTAAGTTGTGTATTTTAAGAATAAATTATGTATCCTAAATATCCAATCACATTTGTAAGCTTGGAAGCTCTAAACTCTACTTAATAAAATTTTTTTTATAACTGTGTGTTCAGAAACTGAGTATTAGTCATATGGTATATCACTTTTTTTTTTTTTTTTTTTTTAGATGGAGTTTCACTCTTGTTACCCAGGCTGGAGTGCAATGGCGCGATCTCCGCCTCCTGGGTTCAGGCAATTCTCCTGCCTCAGCCTCCTGAGTAGCTGGGATTACAGGCACGTGCCACCATGCCCAGCTAATGTTTTGTATTTTTAGTAGAGACGGGGTTTCACCATGTTGACCAGGATGGTCTCGATCTCTTGACCTCATGATCCACCTGCCTCGGCCTCCCAAAGTGCTGGGATTACAGGCTTGAGCCACCGCTCCCGGCCAGTATATCACTTTTAAGTACTTACCTTAGGTGAGTTAATTTATAGTTACTGTGGTCAGTGCTTTATAGAACATAATAGGAATTTGGATGATATGACATCGCAGTGTTTATATAAGAAAGTATTAAACAGTAAAAACAATAATTACATGTTAATAGGAGTGGTGTTTGTGTTTTGAAAGGTACTCCTTAAAGATGCAAGATAGAAGCTTAGGCTGTGATAAAAAGAATTTGCTAATTACCTTAAGTTGTAGACAAATCAGATACCAGACTGTCCTAATGCTTCTGAAAACTTCAACTTTTTAAAATCTTATTGTGGAAAATTTCAAACATACATAAAAGTGGGGAAAATAGAATAATGAACTCTTTCTTGTACCCATTAACTAATATTGACAACTGCCAACTCATAGCCAATCTTGTTTAATTATACCCTCCCTCATTTCCTCACCCGAGCAAATTTCAGATATCATTTCTTATATAAAATGTCAGTATGTATGACCAAAAGGATGTTAAACCACAACACCATTGTCATTCACATAAACCTACAATTCTTAAAATATCAGGTTTCTAGTTAGTGTTGAAATATGATCTCAAATGATTTTATTCAAATGGACATCCAAATAATAAATTGCAATTGGTTAATGTGTTTAAGTCTCCCAAAATCTGGGGTGTTGTCCCGGTAATCCCTGCACTTTGGGAGGCCAAGTTGGGCGGATCACCAGAGGCTGGGCGTTCAAAACCAGCCTGGCCAACATGGTGAAACCCCATCTCTACTAAAAATACAAAAATTAGCTGGGTGTGGTGGCAGGTGCCTGTAATCCCAGCTACATGGGAGGTTGAGGCAGGAGAATTGCTTGCACCTGGGAGGCAGAGGTTACAGTGAGCCAAGATTGAGCCATTGTACTCCAGCCTGGGGGACAAGAATGAGACTTCATCTCAGAAAAAAAAAAAAAGTCTTTCTTCTTCTACCCTTCCCCTTTGTCTTTTTGTCTGTCTCTCTGTGTGTCTGTCTCTGTTGTTGATATACTTGGTCAGTTCTTGCGTTTTCCGCAGTCTGAATTTTTCTGATTACAGGTCTGGGCTGTCCTTTATCATGTTCCTTTTTATCCTGTAGGTCTTGTAAATTGGGCATTAGAGTTAAAGCTTTTAATACCTTTTTAACCAAGTTAATGATTATTTGGAATGAGTGCACTGTTAAGATATACAGGTGACCTTTGAACACAAGTTTGAACTGTGCAGGTCCACTTAGATTTGTGTAAGTGTAACAAAAGTTACACAAAGTGTGCCTGCCTCTCCTGCCTTCCCTTCCACCTCCTCCACCTCTGTGATAACTGAGAGAGAAAGACCAGCCCTTCCTCCTCCTCTACCTATTCAATGTGAAGATGACAAAGATGAAGACCTTTAGAATGATCCACTTTCACTTTGAATAGTATATATTCTCTTCTTTGGCATTTTCTTTTTTTTTTGAGACGGAGTCTTGCTGTTGTCAGCAAGCTGGAGTGCAGTGACATGATCTTGGCTCACTAAAACCTCCTCCTCCCGGGTTCAAGCAATTATCCTGCCTCAGCCTCCCAAGTAGCTGGGAATACAGGCACATGCCACCACACCCAGATAATTCTTTGTATTTTTTTAGAGATGAGGTTTTACAATGTTAGCCAGAATGGTCTCCATCTCCTGACCTCATAATCCGCCCTGCCTCGCCCTCCCAAAGTGCTGGGATTACAGGTGTGAGCCACCTCACTGGGTCCTTATGATTTTCTTAACATTTTCTTTTCTCTAGCTTACTTCGTGGTAGGAATACAGTATTTAGAAAAGACACGGTGGCTCATGACTATAATCCCAGCACTTTGGGAAGGTGAGAGGATTGCTTGAGACCAGCCTGGGCACTGCAGAGAGATCCTGTCTCTTAACACCCCACCCCCAAGAAAGAAATTAGCCAGGCATGGTAGCATGCACCTGTGGTATAGCTACCAGGGAGGCTGAGGTGAAAGGATCCATTTGAGTCTGGAAGGTTGAGACTGCACTGAACCATGATTACGCCACTGCACTTCAGCCTAGGTGACAGTGAGGCCCTGTCTCAACCCCAAAAAACAACAAAAAAAACACATGCTATATAATGTAACACACAAAATGTTTGTTAATTGACTTATTGGTAAGGCTTCTGGCCAGGAGTAGGGTGATAAGTTTTGGGGGAGTCAAAAGTTATATGTAGATTTTAGATCGTGCAGGGGATTGGTGCCCATAACCCCTACATTGTTCAAGGGTCACAGTTTGAAATTGCCATCTTGCAATAAAGCCAAAAGATTAAACACTGAATTTTGTCTATTTTAACTTTTTTTTTTTTTGAAACGGAATTTCACTCGTTACCCAGACTGGAGTGCAATGGTGCAATCTCAGCTCACCACAACCTCCGCCTCCTGGGTTCAGGCAATTCTCCTGCCTCAGCCTCCTGAGTAGCTGGGATTACAGGCACGTGCCACCATGCCCAGCTAATGTTTTGTATTTTTAGTAGAGACAGTGTTTCACCATGTTGACCAGGATGGTCTCGATCTCTTGACCTCGTGATCCACCTGCCTTGGCCTCCCAAAGTGCTGGGATTACAGGTGTCAGCCACCGTGCCTGGCCACTTTTTTTTTTTTTTTGAGATGGAGTCTCTCTCTCGTCACCCAGGCTGGAGTGCAGTGATGTGATCTCTGCTCACTGCAACCTCCGTCTCCCGGGTTCAAGTGATTCTCCTGCCTTTATTTCCCTAGTAGCTGGGATTAGAGGAGCCCACTACCATGCCCAGCTAATTTTTATATTTTTAGTAGAGATGGGATTTCACCGTGTTGGCCAGGCTGGTCTTGAACTCCCGACCTCAAGTGATCCACCTGCCTCAGCCTCCCAAAGTGCTGGGATTACAGGCATGAGCCACTGTGCCTGGCCTTTGACTTTTAATGAGAGGTGGGGAAAACTTAAATGACACACCAAGATACTAGCATGTCAGTAATGTTTGTTTCCCCTTAGGTATAACTGATAGTGGCTAGTCTAAATGAGCAAAGTTTGAGGACTAATATCTATAAAGTACCTATGATACCAGTTCTAATAACTCAGGGAATAACTCAGTTTTTTTGCATAGGTAAGATGGAAAGGGCCAAGGATGGCAGTCATGCCTGTAATCCCAGCACTTTGGGAGGCCGAGGCTGGTGGATCATCTGAGGTCAGGAGTTCGAGACCAGCCTGGCCAACATGGTGAAACTCCATCTTTATTAAAAATACAAAAATTAGCTGGGCATGGTGGTGGATGCCTGTAATCTCAGCTATTCGAGAGGCTGAGGCATGAGAATCACTTGAACCTGAGGGCGGAGTTTGCAGTGAGCTGAGAGGGTGCAATTGCACCCCGCCCCCCACCAAAAAAAGGGGTAGGGGGAAGGCAGTTCTCTTTACAGTGAGGTGAAAGAGAAGGTAAGTTTATGATTTAAATGTGAGAGGAAGCTTTCAGAAACAAGCTACTGGAACTGTGGTAAGATCAGCTTGGTGGGCAGCGCAACTGTGTGCTCTCTGATTTGCAACCTTTATTTTGCACATAATTGAATAGCGTATTTATTTCACAACCAAAACTAACCTTTAGGGGAAGGGAGAACTGCTTAGTTACATTCATGCTCCTAGAAAAAGCAACATTCTAGTAAAATGATAATTTCATGGAAAATATACTAGTAAAACCAGCTTACCTTAGGCCTTATAAGCAGAATAGAATAAAAAGAAAAACTGATCATGTTTATTGCAACCATTGTCAAGGTTTTAAACTACAGGTCCAGTGCTACCTTGAAAGCCTTGGGCAACCCTCCTCAGTCACTAGAAATGTTGATTATCTTTTGCTGTGTGCTCTCATTCACCCATGATGACTTCTTGGGGACCCATCCCCACATAGACACCTGATGCCTATTTAACTGTGAGTCTTGCCACCAACCTAGCAGAGTAAACCAAAGTGGAGCACCTGATACGAGGGCAGCCTCCCTAGAGGTTAATGAGACTAACCTTGCACAAATCATTCTGGCCTGCCAGGCACGGTGGCTCACATCTGTAACCCCAGCACTTTGGGAGGCCGAGGCGGGCAGACCACCTAAGGTCCGAAGTTCAAGACCAGCCTGGCATGGGCCTGTAATTCCAGCTACTCAGGAGGCAGAGGCAGGAGAACTGTTTGAACCCGGGGGGATGGAGGTTGCAGTAAGCCAAGATTGAGTCACTTCACTCCAGCCAGGTGAAAGAGTGAGACACCACCTCAAAAAAAAAAAAAAAAAAAAAAAAAAAAAAATCAGTTTGGCCAATCAAATTCCATATAGGTAAATTTAAATTATGAGGAGCATCAATGAAGAAAGTAGAGAAACCAGCCTGTAGCATAAGGAAGAGTGGAATAGACTACGGAAAGCAGAGACGTGACGAGAGAGATCCTATGTCCTATGTCCAGGCAGTAGCCGACCTCTTTTCTCCCTCCAAGTCCTAGGTAGCCTTGCAGTGAACTTCCTTTAAGTTCATTTAAATTTCCAGTCCTTGAAGCCAAAGATCAAACTGGAATGTGTCTATGTACATATTAATATTTAAAGGATACAGTACAAAACATTAAAAAATTACAGGTGAAACGTCCCAAATTAAATCAGTGATTTTGGTATTGTTGCAGTAACCTCTCCAGGTGCAACTTGAGTATATTCATTCACTTGTTACTAAACAAGTGATAAATGGTTATATTAATCTTTCTTTTTTTTTTTTTTTTTTTTTTTTTGAGATGGAGCCTTGCTCTGTCACCCAGGCTGGAGTGCAGTGGCACAATCTTGGCTCACTGCAACCTTTGCCTCCCAGATGCAAGCGATTCTCCTGCCTCAGCCTCCCGATCCTCAGCTGGGATTACAGGCACCTGCCACCACATCTGGCTAATTTTTGTATTTTTAGTAGAGACAGGTTTTTGCCATGTTTGACCAGGCTGGTCTTGAACTCCTGACCTCAGGTGATCCGCCTGCCCTGGCTTCCCAAAGTGCTAGGATGACAGGTGTGAGTGATTGTGCAGGGCCATATGGAAGGTAGGGGAGGTGGTTCTAGCCTTTTTTAAATGGTAGGCATCATCCCTCAGTTTTGAATAATAGTTTTCAAACCCCTGTCCCCAGATTCCAAGTTGTAGTCAGGGCTGAAAACACTAGAGACTTTATGGTATATTAGTCTAGACTAAGAATAACTGCATGGCCCAGCGCGGTGGCTCACACCTGTAATCCCAGCACTTAGGGAGGTTAAGGCGGGAGGATCACAAGGTCAGAAGTTGAAGACCAGCCTGGCCAAGATGGTGAAATCCCGTTTCTACTAAAAATACAAAAATTAGCTGGGCACTGTGGCAGGCGCCTGTAATCTCAGCTACTCAGGAGGCTGAGGCAGGAGAATTGCTTGAACCTGGGCGGCAGAGGTTGCGGTGAGCCGAGATCGCGCCACTACACTCCAGCCTGGGCAATAAAGTGAGATTCCATGTCAAAAAAAAAAAAAACAAAACAAAAAAACAAAACTTCGTTTTCTTTGTGGATCTTAACAGTTTCAGTTAGTTGAGTATCTTAAGGGTTTTTGGCGTTTTTTCCTCCAAAGAGTGAATCTTCACTGGAGAACTTCTGTTTTTGTCTTTTTCTTTTTTAAACCAAATAGATTTTAATGTGCAAATTCGTAAGTGGTTTGAGGGTCTGGCATTGCACTCAGCCTTCAATACGTTTGAATAACTACCCATACGTGATCTTCTTAGAAGCAGTGTTTGAAACCACCCATTTCACCCCATCTGCTATGTTGTAGTTGGGTGTTTTTTTGTTTTTTTGAGGCGGAGTCTCGTTCTGTCGCCAGGCTGGAATGCAGTGGCGCGATCTCGGCTCACCACAACCTCTGCCTCTGGGTTCAAGCGATTCTCCTGCCTCAGCCTCCCGAGTAGCTGGGACTCTGTAGTCCACCACGGCCCAGCTAATTTTTGTATTTTTAGTAGACACGGGGTTTCACCATGTTGGCCAGGCTGGATGGTCTCGTCTCTTGACCTAGTGATCCATCCGCCTCGACCTCTCAAAGTGCTGGGATTACAGGCTTGGGCCGCTGCTCCCGGACTGACATTTTTTAAAACAGCCAAAACAGAGAAGAAAAATAAACTTTGTGTAGCTATAAAGAGGAAGGCACAATTAAATTTCAAAGCCCGGGCGGGAAAGGTTTCCGATGCGGTTGCTTCTTATTCCTTCTTTTGACTGACCCGCGCCTTCTCCGCCTCCCTTTCCCCTCCCGTCACCCACCCCAGCGGCGGGGATGCGGCGCCGCCTTCCGCCTTTCCGTACGGAAACATGGCGCCTCCCTGGGTGGGGAAGGCCATCCCCAGCTCCGAGCCAAAGCCCACTGAGCCTCAACGGCGGGTACTCAGCCACGCCTCTCACGTTTCCGTACAAAATCATGGCGCCTCTCTGAGTAGGGCGGGTGACTCTTGGCTCAGAGCCACTGCCCACGGAGCCCCACTCAGTGGTCATCGGTCTGCGCTTTCCACCTTCCCTGAGGAAACGTGGCGCCGCCCACCTGCCAGTCACCGCTTACGGAGCCCCTTCGGCAAGCACGAGAAAAAGCCGCTCGCCTTTCCGTACGAAGACATGGCGCTGCCCTTTATTGGGCTGGCGCCTCCCGGCCAAGCGCAGTCTCCTCCTTCTCGATACTGAGAAGCGGCCTCTTTGACCGCTGGCCACCGGAGCCGGGCTGGGAGAACCGCCCGCCGCGTGGCGAGGGATGCGGCCTCGGAGGGGCAGAGGCTGAACCGCCCCAGTCTGCCGCGCGTCGCTCCGGCCTCCGCCGTAGCGCCAGCCCGCACCTGATTCGCGGCGGGAGGGAGAACATCGACTCCACGGCAGGTGAGGAGAGCGGGAGCGGGAGCGCGGGCGGAGGCTGACGGGGCCCGCTCGGGAGGCGCGCGGCCCAAGTCGCCGGCATCTCTTTGCCTCTTCCCGTCGGATCCCGTCCGGGGATGTCGGGGGCAGGCGAGGAAGAGGCGGGGTCCGCGGGCGGGTGGGGCCCACGCCTTGAGGCCGCCCTCCCGGCGCGCCCGCGTCCTCCGCTGCTCGCGGCCCTGCCACTCCCTCGCCGGCCCGAACAGCTGTTTACAACGGAATCGGGACGCCGGGCGCGAGTGGAGCTCAGTGCCAGAGGAGGGATTCCCGGCGCCGGGGGACAGAGCCCCTTTCTTTTGCTGAAAGACCCTCTCTGCTGGGGAGCCTCTTGTGTCCAGCTTAGGCCCGCGTGCAGCCCCGACGGATGACCGGCTTCTTGGCAAGTGCGTGGATCCTCCTCCCTTCGGCTCCCTTTTTTACATGCAGTGGGGGTTGAATGAATGCGCGCGCTGTAAGCAATTAAATGGTTCCTGGCTGCATCCTAGAGCTCTTTGATTAGAGTTACAGTTTGTGGAAGGCCTGCCGTGTGCCAGCCTCTGCTATGCACAGTCTTTCGTTTCAGCTCCCCCCAAACCGAGCAGGTAGGTAGCTCTATTTTACAGAGGAAGGAACTGAAGTTACACAGCTAGTAAAGGGCCAGAATTGGGGCCCAGATATGTCTGAGACCGACGCCCAGCCCTCCCACATACACTGACATCACAGAGATGACGTAGGGATTCATCTCTGTCAACAGATACTTCGTGGATGTCTATTTGGGGGATATAAGGATGGAGCATAAGTGGGGAATATGACTGGTGCTGGCTCTTAAGAAGTTCGAAATCTAGGTGGAGAATTTTAAAATAAAAACTAGCACTTTGACCATCTGGCCCCAACGCATCTTTCCATCATCACTAGCCACTTCCTTTTCTCATTTTCTGCCCTCTGATTGAAATGCCCTTTTTTTTCACCTCCTTTCTCCCCCTCCAGACATGTTTTAACAGGGTGAAATTCTACTCCTTTTAAAGATCAGCTCAAATGTCATCTTTTCTGGGAAGGTTTTCTCAATCTCCTCCCAGGCAGAGTTAGTTTCTTCCTCTGCTATATTCCCTGGGCAATTTCATAATGCCACTAAGGCTTAAATTTCATTATGGCTCCTTGTAAGCATGTCTGCCTCCCCCTCTAGACTATGTATTTGCATCTTTCTCTTTAAATAAGCATACTTTGAATTGAATTTAAGGCAGTGATGAATGCCAACTGCCAACTAGCCAGCCCTATAGGAGCTGAGAAAGGCACAAATCACTGGTGAGGTCCGGGAAGTGTCCTGGAAAGAGATGGGACTTGAACTCAATCTTAAAAGGATGGAGTTAGTTTACTAAGCTGAGCATTAGAGACCTAGAAATCCTGCCTTTCCTCCTCACTGCACAGAATGAATTACTTCATCCCTTCTGGGCTTCTCAGCATGTGAAGAGGATAAAATTAGAAGCGTTTTGTTTGTCCTTTCTCATAGAATATGCTGGTAACGTTATCCTTTGGATCTTGGAGCATTTCCTGACCCTAACAGGCTTTAGGATAGAGAGGAGATGGATGTCCCCAGTGGAGTGTTGGAAGCTAAAATGAGACTAGAAAGGGGAAATACATGAAAACACCTTTATATTAATACAGGTCTGGGCCGGGTGTGGTGGCTCACATCTGTAATCCCAGCACTTTGGGAGCCCAAGGAGGGCGGATCGCTAGAGGTCAGGAGTTTGAGACCAACCTGACCACCATGGTGAAACCCCATCTCTACTAAAAATACAAAAATTAGCTGGGCATGGTGGCAGGTGCCTGTAATTCCAGCTCTTCAGGAGGCTGAGGCAAGAAAATCCCTTGAGGCCGGGCGCGGTGGCTCATGCCTGTAATCCCAGCACTTTGGGAGGCCGAGGCGGGTGGATCACGAGGTCAAGAGATCGAGACCATCCTGGTCAACATGGTGAAACCCCGTCTCTACTAAAAATACAAAAAATGAGCTGGGCATGGTGGTGTGTGCCTGTAATCCCAGCTACTCAGGAGGCTGAGGCAGGCGAATTGCCTGAACCCAGGAGGCGGAGGTTGCGGTCCAGCCTGGGTAACAAGAGCAAAACTCCGTCTGAAAAAAAAAAAAATCCCTTGAACCTGGGAGACAGAGGTTGCAGTGAGCTGAGCTAAGATCTTGCCAGTGCACTTCAATCTGGGCCACAGAGCAAGACTCTGTCTCAAAAACAAAACAACAAAACAAAAAAAAACCAGACTTGAATATTTCAGTTCCTGTAACTTCATTCTATTTAATGGAGTTCTTTGAAATTTCAGATAATTCTATTAGGTGACTCTTCACATCTGTCTAATGTGCAGAACACAGTCTGCCAAACTCCCTAAATCACTTGACATTTCCTTTGATCCCTTCATTACTTTCCATGTATGTAAGAAAGTTTATAATTCATGTTTATGAAAATGTTTTGTAATCTTCAAGTGCTAATGTTACAGATGTTAATTATTTTCAGCAAATGCAGAAACATTGTGTCTTCTTCCTCAGAAACACCCTAGGAGGCAGGGCATGGTGGCTCACACCTGTAATCCCAGCACTTTGGGAGGCTGAGGCGGGTGGATAACCTGAGGTCCGGCGTTTGAGACCAACCTGATCAACATGGTGAAACCCCGTCTCTACTAAAAATACAAAATTAGCTGGGCATGGTGGCGCATGCCCGTAATTCCAGCTACTTGGGAGGCTGAGGCAGGAGAATCTCATAAACCCCAGAGGTGGAGATTGCAGTGAGCCGAGATTGCTCCATTGAACTCCAGCCTGGGCAACAAGAGTGAAACTCCATCTCAAAAAAAAAAAGATTCTATTTTCTATCATCTCTAGGTATCTTTTTCACACGATAATAGCAAGGAATCAACCCTTCAGCCTAGTGGATTTACTCATAAGCTCGATTAAAAGCATTTTTTCCAAGGAGTTTGCCTATCTGCTCTTAGGAATGAAAGTAAAGAATGTAACATTGAATCACTGATTAAAGTAGTAGCAGCAGACCGTTTAGAGTACACACTGCTGGTAGTTTAAGTTCCTGTATTCTTGTAACATGCTACTCAGGAGTAGGACAAAAATATTCCAAATAACTATCTGAGATCCAGAAATTTGATAGATTACAAATGTCATTTTACAAGTATCTATTTAATCATTGAAGTAGAATATTATAGCTGGATAAGATCTGGGTAGGCTCATTTATTCTACAAACAAGAAAACTGAAACCCGAAGAGATTAAATGATTTGCCCTGAGTCACATTGCTAGTTGGTGACAGAACCAGAATACTTTTGGTTCTTTTTTTTTCTTTCCTAGGAAAGTGAATAAACTTAATTGAGAATGTCTGAAAACCTTGACAAGTCCAATGCAAATGAAGCAGGAAAATCAAAATCCAATGATTCTGAGCAAGGCCTTGAAGATGCTGTGGAAGGTGCTGATGAAGCCTTACAGAAAGCAATAAAGTCAGACTCCACCAGCCCCCAAAGAGTGCAAAGACCTCACTGTAAGCAAATTTGACTTTGGCTAGATGCAGTGTTATCATTCTTTTCAGGTGACAGTTGTATGAGGCCTTTTTGTGCATGTGGCCCTGAGCTAGGTTCTCATAATATTATTGCTAATATAGATTTAGGATTAACAGCAGTTCCTCAGCTGGCAGCCTAGCTACTTGTGGATTTTCAATTGCATGGGAAATTAACATTTGAGAATAATGTCCAGAATGTTCCTGTCTTTCTCCAGCCTCAATGATATTACAGTTTCTGAAATGCGCTGAGAAATAGGAGGGTGGGGTGCAAATTGCAGCTTTCATTAAAAGAGTGAAAAGTCTGAGGCTGATTCCAGCCAGGACTATGCTTGTGCAGGTTAAAAAAAAAAAAAAAAAAAAAAAAAAAGTGAGTGAATTTACCACACCCTAATTCCCTGCCTGGGGGCTTAGTTCCCACGAATAGGGGATTCAGTTTGCTGAATGTGTTTGGTGAAGTCATTTCAAATCCCTGCCAAGGAGCAAGTCTCTGAAATGAAAGGATGGCGGTATCTTCAGGCATTCCTAGCAGTTGCCTCAACTCACATCTTTTATGAAGGATACCTTAAGCATTTTGAAGTGAGTCCAAAAATGAAAGTTTTTAAGAGGGAATGTCATAGTCTAAGAATGTTGGTATTGATGTTATCTTTTTAAACTGTAGATGATCAGTAGTTGTACATATTTGGAAAAAGTACAGACATTTTTAGGTTTTGGGGTGTGTTTCTTCTAAAATGATCAAAGCCCTTCCCAGGCAATATATTAGTCAACGTAGTATTCTTCAAGCAAACATTAACAGACCCTGTGTTATTGTGATTTATTATCACTTGGATTTTAATAAATCAACGATTAGGTCAAATTGTGTCCAGGGAAACATGTTGTTACTAGCACAGTCTAGCATGGTAGGCCTGTCTCCAATATGTATAGTTAGAAAGCTTCTGTTTTCCTATCTTTAAAATGAGGAAAATACATATATTTCTTAGGGTAGCGGTAAAGATTAAATGAATTTGTATAAGACACTTAGAACAGTGCTTCATAGGTAATAAATTCTTAATAAACATTAGTTGTTGTTACTACTATTGCTACTAACATGTCATCTATTGCATTTAAAGATGCCAGCACTGGCCAGGCACAGTGACTCATATCTGTAACACCAGCACTTTGGGAGGCTGAGGCAGGAGAATCACTTGAGTCCAGGAGTTCAAGATCAGGCTGGGCAATATAATGAGACTCCATCTGTACAAAAAATAAAAAAGTAGCCAGACACGGTGGTGCATACCTATAGTCCCAGCTACTTGGGGGGCTGAGGCAGGAGGATTGCTTGAGCCTGGGAGGTGGAGGTCGCAGTGAGCCAAGATCATACCACTGCATTCCAGTCTAGGTGACATAGTGAGACCCTTTGTCAGAAAAAACAAAAGGTTAGCTGAGCATGGTCGCACATGGCTGTAGTCCCAGCTACTTGGGAGGCTGGGACACGAGGATCACTTGCACTGGGGAGATCAAAGCTGCAGTGAGCCATGATCGTATTACCACACTCTAACCTGGATGACAGAGTGAGACAATCCTCTCTCATAAATAAATCGGCCAGGATTGATTGCTGTAATGTGGATGTATATGATAGTTTTACAACCTATAGTTTCTGCTAATGAAGAACTTTTGGATTAGGTCTTCAGTCATTCTCTATTGGTTGGTTGGTTGATTGGTTTTAATATTTTTAAACAATTTTAATTTTTATGGGTTCAGCCATTCTTTGGTTGATGGCTGCACCTTTGGCAACCTGTCAGTCTGATGGCATGATTCCAAATTAGTATTAAACCAGTACTAAGCTACATTATCTGAAATTGTGTGTAGTTATGCCTTAAAGGCAAGAATAATTACTTATCCTGGAACCTATGATCAAAATTTAGAGGATCTAGTAACAGCCAGAAAAGTACATCAACATTTGTTTGTATATGCATGTTTTTAGGAAGAAGGTCATAGAAGCTTTCATTAAGTTCTCATAGTGGTCTGTACCAAAATCAGGTTTAAAATCAATGCCCTAAGATATTTCTTTTAGCTGCCTTCCTATTTCTCCTGTAGTAGTAGGTAGGTATAGGACCATAAACCCAAAAGATAAAGCTAAGACCCCATTATTTGGGGATCAAGTAAGGAAGCATTATTGAACACAAAAAGCATAAATAAAGATTTACAAAATGCAGAGTTAACAATTTACAGACATTTTCCCCAAACTCTGTAAATGTGTAGCTACTGAGTTCAAAGGAACTCTAAAGTCACATTTGGAATTCTATAAATTAAAATGTAAGTAGCAAAAAGATAACATTTTTTGTTTTAAATTATAACACAGAGTAATACTTTAAGAGTGGAATTGCTATGCTAGGCAAGGTGGCTCATGCCTGTAATCCCAGCACTTTGGGAGGCCAAGGTGGGTGAGTAACCTGAGATCAGGAATTTGAGACCAGCCTGGCCACGATGGTGAAACCCTGTCTCTACTAAAAATACAAAAATTAGCAGGGCATGGTGGTATGCACCTGTAATCCCAGCTACTTAGGAGGCTGAGGCAGGAGAATCGCTTGAACCTGGGAGGCAGAGGTTTCAATGACCCACGATTGCACCATTGTACTCCAGCCTGGGTAATAAGAGCAAAACTTCATCTCAAAAAAAAAGAAAAGAGTGGAATTGCTGATGGTAGCTGATACAGAATATTGAAAAAGGAAAAATGGCTGGCTTGTAAAAAATTGGTTGGTACTAATTTGAGGTGGTGATTTGATTGTAAAAGATTATCTGTTCTTTAAACAGAGATCCTTTAAACAGAGTAAGGATCAGTCACCTGTTACTTAACAATATTTTCTTTAAAATCTTCTACTTGTATATACTTTAATCCTCTTCTCACAAAGAACCTTCTGTTCTAATGCTTTTTTTTTTTTTTTTTTTTTTTTTTTTTGAGACAGAGTTTTGCTCTTGTTACCCAGGCTGGAGTGCAATGGCGCGATCTCGGCTCATCGCAACCTCCGCCTGCTGGGTTCAGGCAATTCTCCTGCCTCAGCCTCCTGAGTAGCTGGGATTACAGGCACGTGCCACCATGCCCAGCTAATTTTTTGTATTTTTAGTAGAGACGGGGTTTCACTATGTTGACCGGGATGGTCTCAATCTCTTGACCTCGTGATCCACCCGCCTCGGCCTCCCAAAGTGCTGGGATTACAGGCTTGAGCCACCGCGCCCGGCTGTTCTAATGTTTAATCCCCTAGTTGACCAGTAAAAGATGCTATATTCAGATGACAAACACCAATTATTACTCCAGTTAATATCCTCTATGTAGGACTTTGTTTTATTAAATCAGATCCTTGTGAATTTAATTAGTTGATCCCAGTCATCCTTAGACGAATAGATGACACAAGAACTTAGATTTCTAAAGCTCATGACTAGACTTTGAAATATGGTATCTCTGTATTCAATCAGTCAAATATTTGTTGAGTGCATACTCTATGTCAGGGATTCAGCAGTGAACCAGGCCCATGTTGTCTCTGTCCTCATGGAGCTTACAGGCTAGCAAGGAAGACAAATTAACAAGCAGTTTCCATCAACATAGTAAGTACTATAGGTAACCTTTACCCTTGCTTTACTGTATTTACTGTATAGTAGCTGTTTTGTTGACATTTATCATCTTGCCCTCCATAAATGTCCATCCACTTGTGTGACTAACAGCATCTTTTTAGAGGGTATAGACATCTCAGGACACCCTAGTAAAGAAAGAGTACAACCATTCTAAATTAGAACTTCATTTTATTTTGGAATCTGTCTGCCAGCCTCTCAGAAATGATGTTTAACCTAATACGGTTTTCAGTTTCTCTACAGGGCATCAGTGCACAAATGCCGTAACAAAATAACAGAATTTAGCAACAGCTTTAGCTTTGTATCACTAAGATAAACTCCAGAGTAAGTTATATGTAACCTTACCCATTTTTTTTTTTTTTTTTAGGAGACCGATCTCTTTATGTTGCCCAGGCTGGCCTTGAACTCCTGGGCTCAAGTGATTCACCCACCTCAGCCTCCCTAGTAGCTTAGACTACAAGTGTGCACCACCATGTCTGAGTTAACCTTACACCATTTTTCATGGCTCTTATTACAACTCAGATTCTCTTCACAAATTGAAGCAAAGCCGTGTTATCCACCAAATTGCATCTTTATGCAATTTTATGAAATCTTTAACAAATTTTTATTTATGAAATTGGTAAATTTGAGCACTGTCCCAAAACAAAAACCCCCACAACCTATCATTTGTATGCAGTGCATAATTCCTCTATGTGTACATGTGTAACATGTCCTGATCTTATCTTAGAACTGTAGCTTTTATCTTTCATGGTCAGATACCCCATCATTGATAAGTCTGATTTTATGTAGTCTCTAACTTGGATAGCTCCTGAAAACTTTCTTCTTCCTGAATGTTTGATGTTCTTAGTACTTGGTGCAAGCTGTTTTGTTCCAAGTATGCCCAAAACACTGAGAATGCACTTGTTTAAAATTTGGAGGGTTCTTATTTTTCATACAACACACTTAAGTCTCTTGTTTTTACATAGAGAAACACTGACCCTGGAAGATTTAAGTGACTTATTCAAGGTCATGCAGAGTCTAGAGGAAGTGAAATTTCTTCCTGATTTGCTCCAGCTACTGTGTTTCATGACTAGGCAGCATAATAACAGTGTCTATTACTACCCAGATAGCTAAAATTATTGGGAAATAAATCCACTGAGAGGACTTGATGTGTTTCTGTTATTTTCATAAATTTCAGATGATAAGACATTGGTTACTTTTTTGCAAAAGCAAGGTTAAAAGACTTGGAAGCCCTAATAATAATCTGAGTTTCTTTTTAAGAGGTTAAAACTTGATGGAGTTTAATAACACCTGATGTTTGATAATAACACCTGATACTTGATATCGACATACCCACTGTGGAAGTTTCATTTTCTGATAACTGGTAACAGAAATAATTTAATAATAAGCATATATTTATACATGTGTATAAATACAGCAAATCCCTACTGAGCCAGGCATACATCTATAATCCTAGCTACTTGGGAGGCTGAGGTATCAGTGAGCTGTGATCACCACTCTCCAGTTTGGGCAACAGAGTAAGACCCTCTCTCAAAAAAACAAAACAAAAAAAATATATATATATATATTAATAGAGTCTGTAGCAGAGTGTACATTTTAAATTTTGAAAAAGTCCAAATTATCTATTTTTTGCTTTTGTAGTTTGAGCTTTTTGTATCCTAAGAAATCTTTGCCTGATTCAAAATCACAAAGATTTTTGTCTGTATTTTCTACTAGAAGCTGTTTTTTCTGTATAGTCTTAGCTCTTAATGTCTGTGATTCTTTTTTTCTTTTTGAGACAGGATCTCTGTATGTCACCTAAGCTGGAGTGTAGTGGCGGGATCACGGCTGACTGCAACTTCTGCCTCCTGGGCTAAGCCATTTTCCCACCTGAGCCTCCTGAGTAGCTGAGACTACAGGCACATGCTACCACACCTGGCTAATTTTTGTATTTTTTGTAGAGATGGGGTTTTGCCATGTTGCCCAGGCAGGTCTCAAACTCCTGGCCTCAAGCAGTTTTTGCACCTTAGCCTCCAAAGGGTTAGGATTACAGGTGTGAGCCACTGTGTCCAGCCCAGTGATCCATTTTGAGTTGATTTTTGTTTATCATATGCAAGAAGGATCTAGAGTAAATCTTTTACATATAGATACCTAATTGTTGTAGCACCATTTGATTAAAAAAATAAAAAAGACCACACTTGCTCTTTTTTTTTTTTTTTTTTGAGGCAGAGTCTCGCTCTGTTTCCCAGACTGGAGGGCAGTGGTACAATCTTGGCTCACTGCAATCTCTGCCTCTTGGTCTTAAATGATTTTTAGTAGAGATAGGGTTTCACTGTGTTGTCCAGGCTGGTCTTGAACTGCTGGCCTCAAGCAGTCCACCTGCTTCGGCCTCTCAAAGTGCGTGAGCCACCATGCCTGGTCTATCCTTGTCTTTTGACGACATATATACAGTTGTACATGTATATCAGTCTATTTCTGGATTTTCTGCCCTGAATTTCTGTATATCCTTATGCTAAAAATATACTGTCTTGATTATTATAATTTTAAAATAAGTCTTGAAATCAGTGTCAGTCCTCTAACTTTATTTTTCTTTTTCAAAATAGTTTTGGCTTATTTCAAGGTGTTTTGTGTTTCCATATACATTTTAGAATTAGTTTGTCAGTTTCAACAAAAAAGCCTTCTGATTGGGATTGCATTTAACCAATAGATTGACTTGGGGGAAATTGATTATTAATAATATACACATAGAGGGGAACAACAGACACTGGGTCTAGTAGGATCAAGGAAAATAATGAGTACTAGGCTTAATACCTGGCTGACAAAATAATCTCCACAACAAACGGCCGTGACATGAGTTTAACTATATAATAAACCTGCTCATGTACCCCTGAACTTAAAAAAAAAGTTGTTTTTAATTGAAAAGATATATTGGGCTTTGATTTTGAATATTTATTATATTTTAGCAATATTCATGAAGCCAGATTTATTTATTTGTTCTGTATTCTTATTCATATTCTCTGGAAATGCTGAAAATGTTGTGAGGAAGAATTTTGAGAGTTTTCTCAACTTCCCCTTGTGACCAAATAAAGATTTTTGCCAGACAGGATATGACCAGCTCTTCGATTTGGTTCCTTTTTTTTTTCCTTTGGTGAGCAAAAGAAAAAAGAAAGAAAATAACTTTTTGACTAACCTAAGAAGATTTTTTAAAGCTGGGCAAACCAGTGACAATACTTATCTAATTTTAAGGCCAGATCTTATGACTGTCACATAAAATTAATATATTCATCTTCTAGGCCAGTGCTTCTCAAACTGTGGGTTTGAGAGTGGAGACTTGTGTTAGAAATGCAGATTCTGGTCTGTGTGCTGTGACTTATGCCTGTAATCCCAGTACCTTGGTGGGTGGATCATTTGAGCTCAGGAGTTTGAGACCAGCTTGGGGAATATGGCAAAACTTGTCTCTAAAACAATACAAAAAGTAACCAGACATAGTGGCGTGTGCCTATAGTCCCAATTACTTAGGAGGCTGAGGTGGGAAGATGGCTTGGGCCTGAGAGGTTGAGGCTGCGGTGAGCCATGATTGTGCCACTGCACTCCTGCCAGTCACAGAGTGAGACCCTGTCTCAAAAAAATAATAATAAAATAATAAAAAGCAGATTGTTTAGCCCTGCCCCAGACCTGCTAAATCAGAAACCCTGAGAGGTGGGCCCAGCAATCTGTTTTCACAAGCTTTCCCTCTGACTCCAGCGTAGGCTAAAGTTTGAGAACTGCTATCAGAGACTTTTTTTTTTTTTGAGAGGAAGTCTCGCTCTGTCACCCAGGCTAGAGCACAATGGTGTGATCGCTCACTGCAACCTCCAAGTCCCAAGTTCAAACAATTCTCTCGCCTCAGCCTCCCAAGGAGCTGGAATTAAAGGCATGCACCACCATGCCCCACTAATTTTTGTAGTTTTAGTAGAGGCAGGGTTTCAACATGATTGCCAGGTGGATCTCGAACTCCTGACCTCAGGTGATCCACCTGCCTCCACCTACCAAAGTGCCGGGATTACAGGAGTTAGTTTGGACTTAGCATAGACTTTTAAAAAGTAAGAATTCCCCTTTGTTCCTTGGTTCAGAACCTTATTTCTGAATGATCGGTCTCAAGCTTTATTAAAAAAGAAGTATGGACACAAATTATGAGACTGTTGCAGCAGTTAATACAGAAGTGACATCTACAGGACTTGGATAATGAAGCAGGGGAAAGAGAGAAATCAATAATGACTCCTTTTCAAAGTTTTTGATTCACTGGATCAGCATTCTACAAAATTCTTGTGTCACATCTCTTTTGATCTGTCCATTGGCCACTGCAGAGCTCTCATATTCTGTCTCAGTATCCTGTACAGGATAGTAGTTTTAGCATTGTTTAAACAGCATCATCAGCACCATAATGGACTTGATGCTATTTTAATTTCCTTTTTTTTTTTTTTTGAGACAATGTCTTACTCTGTCACCCAGGCTGGAGAGCAATGTCGTAATCTTGGCTAACTGCAACCTCCATCTCCTGGGTTCAAGGGATTCTCCTGCCCCAGCCTCCCAAGTAGCTGGGATTACAGGTGTGTACCACCACGCTGGCCTACTTTTTGTATTTTTAGTAGAGACAGGATTTCACCTGCCTCAGCCTCCCAAGTAGCTGGGACTATAAGAACACACCACCACGCCCAGCTGATTTCTGTATTTTTTAGTAGAGATGGGGCTTCACCATGTTAGCAAGGATGGTCTCAATCTCTTGATGGCCAAGCTGGTCTTGAACTCCTGACCTCAGGTGATCCAACTGTCTCAGTCTCCCAAAGTGCTGGGATTATAGGCATGAGTCACCATGCCCAGCTATTTTAATTTTTTTTAACTTTTTATTTGTTTCTGAGACAGGTCTTGCTCTGTTGCCCAGGCTGGAGTGCAGTGACATGATCATAGCTCACCACAGGCTCAAGTGATCCTCCAGCCTCAACCTCCTCAGTAGCTGGGACTTCAGGCATGCACGCACCACCATACCCACATAGTTCTCTAATTTTTTTGTAGAGACAAGGTCTCACTATGGTGCCTAGGCTGGTCTCCAATTCCTGGCCTCTTGCCTTGGCCTCCCAAAGTACTGGCATTACACATGTGAACCACTGTGCCTAGCCTTGATGCTGTTTTCATTTGGGGAGATTCATTTGTGGCAGTGTTTGTGGTAGTGCAAAAGTAAACTGCTAATGGGAGCAAAAGAGATCTTAAATCTGGTGTCTTTTTTTTTTTTTTCTTTTTATGGTAGACAGGAGGCAGAAAGATTAGAAAATAATCCCTCAGCTATGGGACAGATGATGATCTGTAACTTAAGTTTTCCTAAGTTTCAATTTACTGTAATTATTTTCCATTGACCAGTCTTAGTAAAAACCAGATGTTGGCTGGGCGCGGTGGCTCACACCTGTAATTCTAGCACTTTGGGAGGCTGAGGTGGGCGGATCACGAGGTCAGGAGAACGAGACTATTCTGGTAACACTGTGAAACCCCGCCTCTACTAAAAAATCCAAAAAATTAGCGGGGCGTGGTGACACGTACCTGTGGTCCCAGCTATTCAGGAGGCTGAGGCAGGAGAATCGCTTGGACCTGGGAGGCGGAGGTCATGGTAAGCTGAGATTACGCCACTGCACTCCAGCCTAGGTGTCAGAGTGAGACTTTGTCTCAAAAACAACAACAACAACAACAACAAAAAAAACAGATGCTTTGAATATTAATAAATGATCTCTGTTTTTAGGATTCTAGGTTTTAAAAAAAAAGAATATGAAGTAACATTCTGCTGCAGTTTGAAAATGTCAGAACAAACATTTTAATGGAGGCAATAACTGAAATTATTATCTGGTACCAGAACCACTGTCTTCTCCTTATTTTAATATAATATCAAATCTAGAGAAGCAAATCTCTTACAGTGAGGTTTTTTGTTTCGTTTTGTTTTGTTTTGTTTTTGTTTTTTTACAGCTAGTCCTCCTCGCTTTGTGACGGTAGAAGAACTTCTAGAGACAGCAAGAGGCGTCACCAACATGGCTCTAGCCCATGAAATTGTAGTAAATGGAGACTTTCAGATTAAACCAGTTGAATTACCAGAAAACAGGTAAGGTGTTTGCTAAATTATCTTGCTTAGTAGAATACTGCCATTTTCCAGTTTTGGAAATGTTTCCTTCAGTTGATACCAATTTTTTCTTTTGTACATTATTGCTAAAAAATATTCCTAAACAAGGAACACTAATTCTTTAGAATGCAAATAAAAGGTCTGGGAATCTTTTGTGAGAGTCTTTCTTATCAGCTTCTGCCTACTCAGTAGGATCTAGCTGCCTCATCTTGTGTTTTCATTGCATTGTTTCATTCACTTCTTTGAAACTATCACACTGTACTATAGTTGTTGGTTTCCTCACAAAGGTGAAGACTGTGTGTGGGTTATTCTGTGTCCCTAGTGCCTGGCACTTACCAGAAGACTCTACTGATTGTAAGGTGCACCTTCTAAAAATGTGCTGTCATATGCCGGGCACGGTGGCTCAAGCCTGTAATCCCAGCACTTTGGGAGGCCAAGGCGGGTGGATCATGAGGTTGAGAGATCGAGACCATCCTGGTCAACATGGTGAAACCCTGTCTCTACTAAAAATACAAAAAATTAGCTGGGCATGGTGGCACATGCCTATAATCCCAGCTACTGAGGAGGCTGAGGCAGGAGAATTGCCTGAACCCAGGAGGCGGAGGTTGCGGTGAGCCGAGACCGCGCCATTGCACTCCAGCCTGGGTAACAAGAGCGAAACTCCGTCTCAAAAAAAAAAAAAAAAAAAAAAAAAAAAATGTGCTGTCATGGCCAGGCGTGGTGGCTCACGCCTGTAATCCAAGCACTTTGGAGGCCAAGGTGGGTGGATCACCTGAGGTTGGGAGTTCAAGACCAACCTGACCAACATGGTGAAACCCCTTCTTAAAAAAAAAAAAAAAAAAGTGCTGTCCTAAGAAAGAAGAAACACTGCCCATTATAATTGTAAAAATGCCATTGAATTTAAGAAAGATCCAAGTTTCTGAGAGATTAAAATATGGGGGGGGGGGAATATTTGTTTTAGAATCAAGGAAATATTCGTGCCGATGCCCTTCTATCTGAGAGTCTGTTGGGGTGTCTTCATGGTTGCAGGATGAATGCTGCAGCTCCAAGCATCCCATCATACATCATCATTCTGGGCAAGAGGGAAAAGGTTGGGAAGACTAGAGCTCTCCTTTCATTAGAGAGGAACATCTTCCCCTGGAGTCATGAAACAGACATCTGCTAATATTTTGTTAATTAGAATTTAGTCACATGCTACCCCTGTTATAAGTGAGACTGGAAAGCTTAAATCGGGCAAAAGGGAATGAACTGCTGTGATGGGCTTATTAGATCAGCATGACTTATTGTCACAGGCAGAGTATATTGTTACCCTGAAAAACACTGAAATTCTGTTAACAAAAAGGGAGGAATGGCTGCTGTGCTGGCAAATGTCTTTTGTAGGAAGTTTCTAAATATGACTTCACAGATATTTCTTATATCTGCAAAGATAGTACTTTTTTGCTTTTTTTTTTTTTTGAGATAGAGTCTTGCTGTCGCCAGGCTGGAGTGCAGTAGCATGATCTCGGCTCACTGCAACCTCCGCCTCTCAGGTTTAAGTGATTCTCCTGCCTTAGCCTCCCAAGTAGCTGAGACTACAAAGGCATGCCATCATGCCCAGCTAATTTTTGTATTTTTTAGTAGAGACGGGATTTCACCATGTTAGCCAGAATGGTCTTGATCTCTTGACCTTGTGATCCACCTGCCTTGGCCTCCCAAAGTGCTGGGATTACAGGCATGAGCCAACGTGCCCAGCCACTTTTTTGAATTTAATAATGAAGAATTACTTGTTTTGTGCTCAAGACAAAAAAACTGATTTGTTGTTGTTCTTGTTACTGTTTTTGAGACAGAGTCTTGCTCTGTTGCCCAGGCTGGAGTGCAGTGGTGCAGTCTCAGCTCACTCCGTCTCCCAGGTTCAAGCAATTCTCCTGCCTCCACCTCCCGAGTAGCTGGGACTACAAGCATGTGCCACCATGCCCCACTAATTTTTGTATTCTTAGTAGGGATAGTGTTTCACCATATTGGCCAGGCTGGTCTTGAACTCCTCACCTCAGGTGGTCTGCCCTCCTTGGCCTCCCAAAATGCTGGGATTATAGGCATGAGCCCCCACACCTGGCCAAGACTGGTTTTAATGAAATGTTATGATGTATATATAAATTGTTATAGTTTGGTACTTAGTTAAGCAATTGTCCCATATATCCCATGGGAATATGATATTTTTAGGAAATAAAGCCCTTCAACCTACTGCATACTGAATTATTGTTATTATTATCATTATTATTATTATTTTGAGACAGTGTCTTGCTCTGTCAGGCTAGAGTGCAGCCAGGCTAGAGTGCAGTGGCACTATCTCGGCTCACTTCAACCTCTGGCCAGGCTGATCTTGAACTCCTGACCTCAGGTGATCTGCCTACCTCAGCCTCCCAAAGTGCTGAGATTACAGGCATAAGCCACCATGCCCAGCCTAAATTGTTATCTTAGACTACCTAATTATAAAAATCTTAGGAAACTCGCTACTATCAGGGAACTAAAAATAATTAATGTTGGCCATCCAATTACTTGAGAGCGATTCTTTCCAATGAGAGGCTTATTGCAAAAAATCGCTAACTTTTAAAATAAAGTATGCCATTGGTTGAAGTATGCCTGGGAAATTTTTCCTTGGTCCAAATGACTGGGATTGATCTTACCTGAAACCCATAGTATTTGTGCTTTTGAAAGTGATTTGAAATTCAGATATTTTGGTTTTTACCTTTTTTTTTTTTTTTTTTTTTTTTTTTCCCCACTGCCCCAGCTTGAAGAAAAGAGTAAAGGATATTGTACATAAAGCGTTTTGGGATTGCTTGAGTGCACAGCTAAGTGAAGACCCCCCATCATATGACCATGCTATTAAACTTGTAGGAGAAATCAAAGAGGTGAGGCAAAGAGTAAATTGTGATGCTTTTCTGGTGTGTTAGGAGTGTTTATTCAACTTCTTGTTTCACCACCAGAAGACTTTATAAAGAAACTGAAGGATCCAGAGTTAAATAACTTGCCAAAAGGTAGATCAAGAGTGTTTTTGGCTTAATGCCCTTTTAAAAAAAATTTTAAGCAAGCCGTGATAACCCGAAGGCATTAAAGACAACAAAGTTATTTCACAAAATCTAGGTTATTTATAAATTTTAATAGGTATGGACACATTCCATTTATAATGGCCAAAAAGTGATTCAGGCTTCAGGATAGAGAAAGCTTTAGGTGGAGGGACTGTTTGCCTTTAGCAATAGCATCAAAGAAGAAATGTATCCATGGAAATTGTCATCTGTGGTTGGCTCACAGGCTCACATTAATAAACATACTTTTCTTCTTTCACCATTAACAAGTTTTTCTTCTATCCATTTAATTGCTACCTGGAGCTTAAGTGGAAGCTTAATTATAGTAAATGATTTGTAAACATGTTGTTTTTCTGTAGATTTGTTGAGTAAGAAGTAAAATATGTGCACTATTATGTAGCAATTATTAAGCCCTTATTTGGATAGTTATAAGTTACATGTAATTAGAAATTATGTCTAAGGAATTTTGATTAAATGTAACTGTTTTCTCTTGTAGACTCTCTTATCTTTCTTGCTGCCTGGCCACACTAGACTGAGAAACCAGATAACAGAAGTCTTGGATCTGGATCTGATAAAGCAGGAAGCAGAGAATGGGGCCCTAGACATTTCCAAGCTGGCAGAATTCATTATTGGCATGATGGGGACACTGTGTGCACCTGCTCGAGATGAGGAGGTTAAGAAACTAAAGGACATTAAGGAAATAGTGCCCCTTTTCAGGTATGGAACTATTTAATCATACTCTGTACACCTACAATTCAGAGCTATTTTCTTTTTTTTTTCTTTTTCTTCTTTTTGTGGGGGACGGAGGAGGGAGGCTGGGCAGGGAAGAAGGGGAGGAAGACAGGCGGACTGGCAAGGGAGCATGAGCTATTTTCTTTTCTTTTTTTTTTTTTTTTTTTTGAGATGGAGTCTCACTCTGTTGCCCAGGCTGGAGTGCAATGGGGCAATCTTCACTCACTGCAACCTCTGCCTCCTGCATTCAAGCAATTCTCATGCCTCAGCCTCCTGAGTAGCTGGGATTACAGGCACGCACCACCATGCCTGGCTAACTTTTGTATTTTTAGTAGACATAGGGTTTCACTATGTTGGACAGGCCAGTCTCGAACTCCTGACCTCAGGTGATCCACTCGCCTTGGCCTCCCGAAGTGCTGGGATTACAGGCATGAGCCACTGTGCTCAGCCGAGAGCTATTTTCAGTTTAAACTTCCCAAAGTCTTGGTACTCATGAATTAACAAAGAAATTTTAAGCAAACATTTTGTAAAATGCAGAAAAGTAAAAAGAGGACATTTACTCATAATTGTACCACTCAGAGGTACAATCACTTTTATCATTTTGATCTGTATATTTTTTTTACATCAAATTCCCTCAACATTTTCTTTTGAAAAATTCCAAACCTGCAGAAAAGTTTCAAAAACAGTATAATCAGCACTCACATGCTCTTCATGTAGATCCATCAGTTTTTATCATGTTGTCACAATTGCTTTGCTGCCCAGGCTGGTCTGGAACTCCTGGGCTCAAGCGGTCCTCCCACCTGGGCCTCTCAAAGTACTGGGATTACAGACGTGAGCTACGGGTCTGGTCCTCTTTTCCTTTAATACTATGTTTAGTTTACAATTGCTTGGTTCTAAATCCTTTTTTCTTTTAGAGAAATTTTTTCTGTGTTGGACCTAATGAAAGTGGACATGGCCAACTTTGCTATCAGTAGCATCAGGCCTCATCTCATGCAGCAGTCAGTTGAATACGAGAGGAAGAAGTTTCAGGAGATTTTGGAAAGGCAACCAAGTATGTTTTATATTTTGTGGTACTTTTTTTGTTGTCTGTGGTTTTTCATTTTAGCTGCCATAGCTTGTTGTAATATTTTCAGAACAAAACAAAAATTTAGTATGAGAATAGTCTGATTTGAAGAAGAAAAACACAAAATGTTAGGATTTCATCTAGAGTTATTAAGCATTGAAAAGAAAACTTAATTGACAAGCAAAAGGAATGTGTGAGTAGGCCATGGGAATAGAAATTTAAAACAATGAATTCCTCAATTATAAATGGTTTTTTGATGAAAACACCAGTTTGAAGTAAAATACATTCTTGGTCTTGATTTTTTAAAACATGACCGACGTCCTATGAATGTTAATTCACTTTTCTTCTTGCTCTGTGGCATACCAGGAAATTTAACTTTGCTTTTGTTCTGGATGCATAAATCTTGTTTTATACCCAGGAAGAGTCTTCATTTTTATGGACGTCTCAGATGACTGCAGAAAACAGACAACGATCAGAATCTAAAACTATGTTGTATTTCTAGGGTGCTTTTTATGGTCTCTGCATTGCTGGCTGACATTCTGGGTAAATTTCAGTTTTCAGAGCCAATGTATGATGAATGCTGTTTTGCCTCTAACTTTGCTGATGAGGAGATGAAAACAGCAGTCTCTGGGTTGATTGGGTTGCCTGACCAGATTAGCTGCAATGCCCCACACAATCGAGTCATCCTGCCCCGGGCAGAGAAGTCTGAGGTGGTGCTGGGGCCAGGGGAAGTCAGGGAAGGGCAAGGCAGGGGTAGAAATAGAAGTAGTTTGGTAATGTTTGCTGAGTGCCAGGCTTGTGCCACAGGCCATATGTGCGTGATCGTATGTTATCCTCACACAGTAAGCTGATGATCCAGGCACCTTTTTTTAACCCCATTTTACAGATGTTGGAAACAGGTTTTGAGAGAGTTTTTACCATAATGGACAGACCACAAGCTCACACTCTCACCAATGTTGTGAGAGTACTGGGCAGAGTTTTTTTTTTTTTTTGAGTTGGAGTCTCGCTTTGTCACCCAGTCTGGAGTGCAGTGGTGCGATCTTGGTTCACTGCAACCTCCACTGGGCAGAGTTTTGTAGCCCGAAGAGCCTTAATATTAAGGCTTGGCCCTGGAAGCAGGGGTGCAGTGGAGGACTTACTGCTAGGGTGGAAGCAGCTACAGTGCCTGAATCTAGCACCTAACTCACAACATGGAAGCCCAGGTTTCCTAAAGCTGGCAGGTTACGGGAGCATGCTGTCTACAGAAGAGAGAGTGAAGCTAGATGGCTCAGCAGTCAGGACTGAGCGCTCAGAGCAAGCCAGAGCTGTGTCCCCCTGCCCCAGTGAAGAGCAGACCACAGCTGCCACCTTGGCTGCCCACCTGGTTTTAAGGAAGCATCCACTGACAGAGCTGCAACACCTCCCGGGACCTGATAGGCACAGTTTTTATCAGATGATATGCAAGATCCTCCAGCTCTCTCTCTGTATCCCTCAGGGTGCCCGCTGCATTACTCACCTTAGAAAAGCAGGGGTACTTAAGGGCTGCTGAAAGTGGTGTGGGGCTTCTCTGACAGAGTTCACTTTCCCCTGGGCTGAATGGAAGCCAGAGTGAAACCAGGTTAAGATCTAAACAAGGAAAAGCCTCATCGTCAGTGTAGAGGATACTTTATACAGGGAAACTCTAGCCACTGTCTCATCCCGTCTGTCTCTAGAGCTGGAGTCTCCAGGGCTTCTGGCTCCATATCATACAGTGGTCAGGAAGGCAGAGAAGAAAAGGAAGGTTTGTTAAATACCAAGTATGTGGCAAGGCCTGGCTAGGTGTCATATATTCTTATTTTAGACAGGATCTAGCTCTGCCACTCAGGCTGGAGTACAGTGGTGTGATCACCACTCACTACAACCTCAACCTCCGGGGCACAAGCAGTAATCCTACAGGCACATGCCACCACACCCGGCTGATTTTTGTATTTTTTGTAGAGATAGAGCCTTACCACATTGCCCAGGCTGGTCTTGAACTCCGGGGTTCAAGCAGTCTTCCTACCTCAGCCTCCCAAAGTGCTGGGATTACAGGTGTGAGCCACCATGCCTGGCTTATTCATTGTCTTGTGTAATCCTCACAACAGCCTGTGAGGTGGGTGTTGTAAATTTCCCTGTATCAGGCATCTGAAACTCAGACACATTATGACTTGTCTGAGATCCCTCAGTTAATTGTGGGCACTACTATGATTTGCTCCAAGTTTTATTTGATTCCAAAGTTCATACTTTCTACTTTTATCACTCTGCCAGGACATCGATTGTCCCTAAAGTAATTCTGAGAAGCATCCCTTCTCAGTATCAAGGTAATACTTGAAGCTTTGTTTTTCACAGATTCCCTGGATTTTGTCACCCAGTGGCTGGAAGAAGCCTCAGAGGACCTTATGACTCAGAAGTATAAACACGCCCTGCCAGTCGGGGGAGCAGCTGCTGGCTCTGAGGACATGCCCAGGCTGAGCCCTGTTGCTGTCCAGAATTATGCTTACCTGAAGCTTCTGAAGTGGGACCACCTCCAGAGGCCATTCCCCGAAGTAGGTCTCTCAAGCCGTTACATTACTCATTTTTTTTTTTTTTTTTTTTGAGACAGAGTTTCGCTCTTGTTACGCAGGCTGGAGTGCAATGGCGCGATCTCGGCTCACCGCAACGTCCACCTCCTGGGTTCAGGCAATTCGCCTGCCTCAGCCTCCAGAGTAGCTGGGATTATAGGCACACACCACCATGCCCAGCTAATTTTTTGTATTTTTAGTAGAGAAGGGGTTTCACCATGTTGACCAGGATGGTCTCGATCTCTTGACCTCATGATCCACCCGCCTTGGCCTCCCAAAGTGCTGGGATTACAGGCTTGAGCCACCGCGCCCGGCCTCGTATTTGTTTTTATGCTATTGAACTTTTTAAAAAGAATAGCTTTGGCCAGGCATGGTGGCTCACTCCTGTAATCTCAGGACTTTGGGAGGCAGATTGCTTGAGGTCAGAAGTTCAGGACCAGACTGGGCAACATGATGAAACCCCATCTGTACTAAAAATACGAAAAATTAGCCAGGCATGGTGGCGGAGGCCTATAGTCCCAGCCACCTAGGAGGCTGAGGCAGGAGAATCACTTGAACCTGGGAGGTGGAGGTTGCAGTGAGCCGAGATCACACCACTGCACTCCAGCCTGGGTGACAGAGCAAGACTCCATCTCAAAAAATAAAAATAAATAAATAAAAAGTAAAAAGAATAGCTTTATTCTAATATAATTCATGTACCAGAAAATTCTCCCTTTCGGAGTGTACATCTCGGCAGTTTTTAATATCACAGAGTTTTGCATCCATTACCACTGTTTAAAATGAGACCATTTTCATCACTTTGAATAGAAACCCGCACCCATTAACAGTCACTGCCCTTTCCCTCTCCCTCCAGCCCTTTAAGCCACAACTCTGCTTTCTGTCTATGGATTTGCCTGTCCTGAACACTTGATATAAGTGAAATCATACAGTACCAGACATTTGTGCCTGGCTTCTTTCACCAACGTTTTTCCATGTTGTAGCATATAGCAGTACGTTAGTCCTGTTTTCCACTGTGTTTTTTTAATAGTGGTAAAATACACATAAAATTTACCATTTTAACCATTTCTAGTTGTTCAGTTCAGTGGCATCAAGTGCATTTGCACTGTTGGGCAACCATCGCCACCAGCCATCTCTGGAACATTTTCATTTTTTCATCTGTGAAACTGTCTTCCCACCAAACACACCAGTCATTCCCCATTGCCTCTGCCCTCTGGCCCCTGGCAGCCATCATTCCGCTTTGAGTCTCTATGAATTGGACTACTCTGAGTATCTCATATGAGTGAAATTATGCAATCTTTGTCCTTTTGGGTCAGGTTTATTTTACTTAGCATAATGTCTTCAAGATTCATTTATTTTGAAGTAGTGTCGGTGTTCCCTTTCTAGGTTTTTGTTTTTGTTTTTTTGTTTGTTTGTTTTTAGAGACAGGATCTCATTGTATTGCTCTGGTTAGAATGTGGTGGTACAATGGCTCACTCTAACCTTGAACTTTGGGGCTCAAGTGATCCTCCTGCCTCAGCCTCCTGGGTAGCTAGGATTACAAGAGTGTACCACCACACCCAGCTTATTTTTAAATGTGTTTTTTGTAGAGACAGGGGTCTCACTGTGTTACCCAGGCTGGTCTTAAACTCTTGGCCTCGAGTGATCCTCCCTCCATGGCCTCCCAGTGTTGAGATTACAGACATGAGCTACCACACCCAGCCCTCCTTTCTTTTTAAGGCTGAATGATATATTTTACTGTATGGATATACCACATTTTGTTTATTCATTCATCAGCTGATGAACATTTGGGTTGTTATTATAAATTATGCTTCTGTGAATATTCCAATGTAAGTTTCTGCATGGACACATGTTTTAACCTCTTTTTTTTTTTTTTTTTTTTTGAGACGGAGTTTCACTCTTGTTACCCAGGCTGGAGTGCAATGGTGCAATCTCGGCTCACCGCAACCTCTGCCTCCTGGGTTCAGGCAATTCTCCTGCTTTAACCTCCTGAGTAGCTGGGATTACAAGCACGCGCAACCATGCCCAGCTAATTTTTTGTATTTTTAGTAGAGACGGGGTTTCACTGTGTTGACCAGGATGGTCTCGATCTCTTGACCTCGTGATCCACCCGCCTTGGCCTCCCAAAGTGTTGGGATTACAGGCGTGAGCCACCGTGCCCGGCCGTTTTCACCTCTCTTGATTATGTACCTAGGGTTAGACTTGCTGGGTTACATAGTGACTCTTAAGTTTAACATTTTGAGGAACTACCAAACTGTTTTCCAAAGGAGCTGCATCATTTTACAATCCCACCAGTAATGTACGAAGCTTCCAATTTGTGCTGCTGAACTTTTCTGCTGTTTTTACACATCTTGATCAAAACCACAACAGTGTTGTGGTTGCTTACAGCTTTACCTAAGAAAGTTCTTCCCCTTCCATGCTGAACAACATTTTTTCTTTTTATGTTTTTCATAATATATCCTTCTAACTGCAAGACTTCTTTAAGAAGATGACTAAGAAGGGATTCCCCCAATTTTTCTATAAATAGCTGTTTCGGTATGTAGACTCTGCCCTCTTTTTTGGGGGTACATGAGCTTCTTATCACTAGCCTCAGATCAAGCTACTTCTCTAAATATCTTTCTCGTAAGTTCCTAATTTTTCCTTCAAGAAGTTGTGAGCTTAAGGTTTTGTCTCTTGCCCCTGAGTTCCCTGTTTTGTGCTGGAGGAAGCTCTAAAGAGAATGCCAAATTGAAGATGGGAAAATGTTCCCTTTCAACTGTAGCATGTTCTCTTCTGGAGGGAAGTTCTCAGCCTGACATATCTCTTTAAAAATAGCTGTGGGAGACCATCCAGTACCTCCCTTTTCCCCACTGCCAATCGTCTTCCCCAGGCCTTAGATACCCCTGCTTCTTCATGCTGTGAATATCCCTAAACCCTCTCTATGGAGAGGCGGATTTGAGACCTGTTCTCCAGCCTCCTCACTTTGCAGTCTTATGAATAAACTCTCTTTTTCTGGGGAAAAAACAAACAAACAAAAAAAACAAAAAACGCTGTGGGGAAGATGGTGATGGTCCCTGGGGACCGCTGTCTACTCCAGGAATTGATCATTGGCAATCTCCTTCTTAAACTCAAGTCCTGCGGGCTGTTGGGAAGCCACAATGCCACGTGAAGTCAGAAAAGACAGACGATAAGTCCTTGGGAGTTTATTTGTTTATCAGCAGAGGATTCTCAATCCTCAGAGATAGTTTTTGCTTCTTGGCTGTGACCCCACATTGTTCATGTATTGATTTGGCAAATCCCAATTTCTGACAGCAAGACAGGCCCTTAGAGTCCATTTGATGAGCCTGTAAACTCTCAGATCAAACACCCATCTGTGCAGCCTTTCCCTTCTCCTTCCCTCATCCACCTGGGCAGGGGCGCTGGCATGGTAGGACCCAGGGCTTCCTTTAACATGGGGGAAGCAGTCGTGGGAATGCACTTGCTTTCTGGGAGTATTTGGGTTGTTCTTTGTCACTTCTACTCTCTGTGCTTCCTGTTTCTTTCTCCTTTATTTACTCACCAGTCCTTACTAGCTTCCTGTGTGCTGGGTGCTGAGTGGGTACCAAGGTGAATACGTGTAGGCTCTGCCCACAAGGCACTTCTCCCCTCCATTGCCCTGGGGTGGTTGTTGTTTTAAGATGGGGTCTTGCTGTGTTGCCCAAGCTGCAGTGTAGTGGCTGTTCACAAACATGATCATAGTGCACTGCAGCCTTGAACTTTTGGCCTCAGCCATCCTCTTGCTGGAGCTTCCCAGTAGCTGGGACTGCAGGCGCCCACCACCGTACCTGGCCTTCCATTGCTCTATACAGGGTGACTGGCTGTCCTAGTTTGCTGGGGACTGAGTGGTGGTTCACATGATGTGGGAGTTTCAATTTGAAAACTGGGACAGTTCCAGACAAACTGGGAGGCACTGGGGACCCTAGGTCTGTGCCTCATTATGCTTTTCGTCCTAACAACATAACTTTTATTTATCAAGTGCTGGCTCTGCCATGTTGGTCAGGCTGGTCTTGAACTCCTGACCTCAGGTGAGCTGCCTGCCTTGGCCTCCCAAAGTGCTGGGATTACCGTCGTGAACTACCTTGCCCAGCCAGGGAGGTCATGCTGTTAAGCCCAGAGCCTGGCTTTACACCCAGGCCTGTGTTCTTAGTGAGGGTGCTATGCTGCATCCTTGCTCAGGAGGAAGGGCTCTGAGATAGAGGCGTTATTTCACACGGGACTCCCTCAAAACTCTGACCACTAGTGCAAACCCTGAGGGAAGCTGCAGAGGCAGGTGTAGGAGCTGTGGCGCTCTTGCCCTCTGCTGTCCAGCCCGGACCTGCAGCTCAGCGATGGTCTCTTCTGTTTATTACAGACAGTTTTGATGGACCAGTCTCGCTTCCACGAGCTCCAGTTGCAGTTGGAACAACTGACCATCCTGGGGGCTGTGTTGCTGGTCACCTTCAGCATGGCAGCCCCAGGAATTTCCAGCCAGGCTGACTTTGCTGAGAAACTCAAGATGATTGTGAAAATTTTGCTAACAGATATGCATCTACCGTAAGTGGAACTGTTGTGTGTGGATGGGAGGCGGTGGATGGCAGAGAGCCGACTGGAGTCTCCCAGAGGGGATCTCTCAGTGTAAGGCCGAACCCAGGGCCACTCTCTAGGAACTGAGAAGAAACCTTGCTGTCTCGGTTCACTTGGCGAAGACCCTAGCAGACTTTATTCAGGGTCACAGGGTCAAAGTTAGAAACAGCTGCAGGGTTAGCAAAGCTCTAGGATTGTGGCTTTAAAATGTATGTGACTAGCCGAGTAGCCTATAGGGCCTTAGAGGCCACAACGAGGAGTTGGGTTATTATCCTAAGAGCAGTAGGGAGCCATTGAAGAGTTTGAAACAAGAGGGAGAGAGCATCATTAGATTTGTGTTGTTGTTGTTGTTTTTTTTTTTTGGAGACAAGAGTCTCCCTCTGTTCACCAGGCTGAAGTACAGTGGCACAGTGTGTGCTTACTGCAGCCTATGCCTTCTGGGTTCGAGTAATTCTCCTGCCTCAGTCTCCTAGCAGCTGGGACGACAGTTATATGCCACCATGTATGGCTAGTTTTTTTGTTTGTTTTGTTTTTGTGTATTTTTAGTAGAGACAGTGATTCACCATATTGACTAGGCTGGCCTCTAATTACTGACGTCTCATCCGCCCACCTCAGCCTCCCAAAGGGCTGGGATTACAGGCGTGAGGCACCACACCCAGTTCTTAAATTTAAATTTTGGTGGGGGGCACATAGTAGATGTGAGGGAGCATTTAGGAGGCAAGAGAAGTGGCTTAGGCAGGGGTCGGCTATGGGTAGGGTGGGGAGTGCTGGTATCAGTGGTTTCTTGCCTTGAGGAGTTGGAGATCCTGGGCTTAGGGGTCCCGTGGTCCTCCATGCCCTGTTAGCATGCTCCTCCCGGGGCCTGGCTCTGTGCTGAGTGCCATCAACTCCTTTATTCTCCCTATGCAGGGAGCAGAATGGTGTCTGACCCCTTCCTTCTTTAATGGGGCTGTTTGTCTTCTGACCTCCAAGGTTTTTGTGTTTGATGTTTGTTGAGTGCTTTATTTCTCTCCCAAAGCCATTCAAATGCATTCAGCTTTTACTGGAGCCTATGAAGAAACTGAAACCCAGTCATTAATTGGGACAAAAATGTTGGTAACTAGGACCCGCAGTAAGAAATTCATTTACTGTTGTGACCTAGTACACACTTAACACACATGTAAGTGTGCATGTGTGCAGGCCTCAGTGACTGCTCCTACCATGGAGTCATGTTGGGTGACTTCTGTGGTTCCAGCCTATAGAATATCTTTGAGTGGTTCTAAGCAAATGCTCTATCTGACAAGGTCCAATTCAGAGACTTCTTCGAGGGAAGTACCCCCTAAACATTCTCATCTTTACAAAATGGAGGAATTTTGCTGCTGAATTTGCACAAAGCATGGGTGTGTGCAGTGCAGTGTGGGGCATGTCCACATGTTGTGGATAGGAGTTCAACAGTTTTGACAGTCAGACTAGTTTGTTGAGAGGCCAGGAAACTGTTTGCTCAGCTGAGGGCTTAGCCTGAGGCCTTTGCACAGGCGCAGCCCTGGGCTGTCACCTAGGTCCCCTGCCTGAAGAACTATTCTGTCAAAGCTTCCGCTGAGGGAGGGACCCAGGCCAGTGCTTCCTTGGGAGCCCAGCCTTACACTCCCATATCCACACTCACCCTTCAGTGGTGGGCACAGAGCTGGTGACAATGGTGAGTGCCAAGGCTTGCTCCCATGCCCCCCAGTAATTCTACTTTACAAAGGATCTAGACCCAGAACAGAGGCAGTTACCTTCTCACAGCATGCCTCTCAGCAGAGGGGCTCCCTGCAAGCACCCTGGGAGAGCCTGGGGGTCCCAGGGTATCCAGGTACTCTTTTTTTTTTTAACTTTAGGATTTGAAGTTTATTCTTTTATTTTATTTTTTTTAATTTTTAATTTAAATTTTTTTTTTTTTTTTTTTTTTTTTTAGATAGAGTTTTCGCTTGTCGTCCAGGCTGGAGTGCGATGATGCAATCTCTGCTCACTGCAACCTCTGCCTCCTGGGTTCAAGTGATTCTTCTACCACCGCCTCCCCAGGATCTGGGATTATAGGCACCTGCCACCACTCCCAGCTAATCTTTCTGTATTTGTAGTAGAGATGAGGTTTCACCATGTTGGCCAGGCTGGTCTCAAACTCCTGACCTCAAACTCCTCATCCACCTGCCTTAGCCTTTACCAAAGTGCTGGGTTTATAGGCATGAGCCACTGCACTGGGCCTCTTTATTCTTTTAAAAGTAGTTAATACATGTGCATGTTTCAAAAATCAAAGATTCAAAAGGGCACCCAGTGAAGAGTTTCTCTCTCCTTCTTGTCCCACAGCCACCAAATGTCTGCTTTCTTGTGTATCCCTCCAGAGGTATATGGAGATATTCTGAGATCATTCCAGGCTGATTTTATCACACAAGGGCTAGCAGGAAGTTGTGCTTTGGGTCGTTGGTCCTGGTGTACTCTGAGCCCTTGCCCTTCCCATTGTCTTTTCTAGCAGAGAGAGAGGAAGAAAGATCCCCAGTCAGGTATGCACAGCCTGAGAGCCAAGGTGGCAGGGAAAAGAGTCACAATTGTCCCTTGAACACATAAATCCAGTTACTGATGCTGTCATCCTCACCGGGTGTGGGCGGTTGGAGCAGTTAGAGGTGTATTTTACTTATAGCCCCTTTCTCCCCTCCTCCGCTCCAGCTCCTTCCATCTGAAGGATGTCCTCACTACCATCGGGGAGAAGGTATGCCTGGAGGTGAGCAGCTGCCTCTCCCTGTGTGGGTCCTCCCCCTTCACCATGGACAAGGAGACCGTGCTCAAGGGCCAGATCCAGGCTGTGGCCAGTCCTGACGACCCCATTCGCAGGATCATGGGTATGTTTGAGGGAAGGCAGGCAGCAGGGATGTGCCCTCTGAGGGGCTGGAGGACAGGCCCCTCTGAAGAAAACTGAGGGCTTAGCTGGGGTTAGGATGCTGATGGGCAAGGAGACAGTGTGATGAAGCATCACAGAGAGACCAGGGCCACCCAACAGACGGGCACTGGACCAGGCAGCCATTATTGTTCTAAGGGCTGTGACTTCGGAATCACTCACCTGGGTTCACAAGCGGTACCCCAGGGCTTACTGTGCAGCTTGGGCGTGTGACTTGTCATTCGAGTTTCCTCATCTCTAAAAGTGGGAATAAGAGCAGCAACCTTACTAGGTCACTGCAGGGACTCCCTGAGACGAGATGGTGAAGCACTTGCTATAGTGCCTGGCAACACATAGTAAGCCCTTAGTAAATAGGAGCAGTAACAAAAATAGCTGAAGAGCAAAATGAAGATGTTATTTTAAAATACTATTAAAATATTATTAAATATTTGTAATACTATCAACATTATATCAAATATAATAAAACTATTAAAATGGTAATAAGATATTGCTATTTAAAATTTATAATAAACTTGAAATATTAAATATTTTTAATGCGGCCAGGCGCAGTGGGTCGTGCCTGTGATCCCAGCACTTTGGGAGACCAAGGTGGGCGGATCACCTGAGGTCAGGAGTTCAAGACCAACCTGACTAACACGGTGAAAGCCCATCTCTACGAAAAATACAAAAAAAAAAAATTAGCTGGCCAGGCGAGATGGCTCATGCCTGTAGTCCCAGCACTGTGGAAAGCCAAGGTGGGCAGATCACCTAAGGTCAGAAGTTCAAGACTAGCCTGGCCAACATGGTGAAACCCCATCTCTAGTAAAAATACAAAAATTAGCTGCGTGTGGTAGCTCATGCCTGTAAGTCCTAGCTACTGGAAAGGCTGAGGCAGGAGAACCTCTTGAACCTAAGAGGCAGTGGTTGCGGTGAGCCGGGATTGTGCCATTGCACTACAGACTGGACAACAAAGCAAGACTCCATCTCAAAAAAAAAAAAAATTAGCTGGGTGTGGCGGCATGCACCTGTAATCCCAGCTACTTGGGAGGCTGAGGCAGGAGAATCAGTTGAACCCAGGAGGCAGAGATTGCAGTGAGCTGAGATTGCACCACTGCACTCCATTTTGTAGAGACAGGGTTTTGCCATGTTGGCCAGGCTGATCTCAAACTCCTAGACTCAAGTGATCCACCTGCCTTGGCCTCCCAAGGCGCTGGGATTACAGGCATGAACCACTGCACTCAGCCGAGACTTACACTGTTGGTAGGGAGGCAGGCAAGTGCCTGCAAGTAGACCTGTGGCCAGCAAGTTGCTTCTCATCCTGCTGCCTGGGTTGTTTTGTAACAACCAGTCTTAGTCATGGGGATTACAAACTAGCCCTTACTGGGAGGATCACTTAAAACCAGAAGTTCAAGACGATCTGGGCAACATAGTGAGACCCCATCTCTACCAAAAATTAAAACATATATAAAATTAGCCAGGACAGTGACATGCATCTGTAGTCCTGGCTACTCAGAGGCTGAGGCAGGAGGATCATGAGCCCAGGAGTTTGAGGCTGCAGTGAGCTATGACTGCACCACCACCGCACTCTAGCCTGGGTGATAGAGCAAGACCATGTCTCTAAAAGAAAGAAAAGAAAGAAAAACAAATCTTTGGGTAGGAACAATACAAAGATTTCTGTTTGGTGAGGCTACCAGCCCTGGGAACCTTAGAGAACCAAACTAACTTAAGAATAAGGGTAATAGGGCCAGGCATGGTGACTCACACCTATAATCCCAGCATTTTGGGAGGCCAAGGTGGGCAGATTAGCTGAGGTCAGGAGTGCGAGAACAGCCTGGCTAACATGATGAAACCCCATCTCTACTAAAAATACAAAAATTTGCTGGACATGGTGGTGTGTGTGCTTGTAATCCCAGTTACTCAGGAGGCTGAGACAGAGGAGAATCACTTGAACCCAGGAGGTGGAGTGAGCAAAGATTGCGCCATTGCATTCCAGCCTGGGAGACGAGGGAAACTCCATCTCAAAAAGAAACAAACAAAAGAATAAGGGTGATAGGGTCAGGTGCGGTGGCTCACACCTGTAATCCCAGCACTTTGGTAGGCTGAGGTGGGCAGATCACTTGAGGTCAGGAGTTCAAGACCAGCCAGGCCAACATGGTGAAACCCTGCCTCTACTAATAATACAAAAATTAGCTGAGCGGGGTGGTGCATCTCTGCAATCCCAGCTGCTCGGGAGGCTGAGGGAGGAGACTCACTTGAACACGGGAGGCGGAGGTTGCAGTGAGCTGAGACTGCACCGCTGCATTGTAGCCTGGGTGACAGAGTGAAACTGTTTTGGGAAAAATAAATAAATAAATAAGGGTGGCAGGTCCTGTCTTGTCGGAAGTTTTCTGTCTCTATTGTGAGGTTCAGGAAGGCCTAAGTTATTTGCGCCTGAGAGGATACCCCAGGCAGGAGGCAGGGCATGTAGTTTAAAAAAGTCCATTCCATATAAATGTCTCTATTGTTTTTGTGATAAAATCTGCAAGAAGTGTGGCTTGATCAAATCTTTTTTCATGAGGGTACACAAGAGTGCAAAAGCGTTATGAAGGGGAATGGACTAGAAAAGCTTCAACCTAAATTATTCCTCAGAGTAGGACAAGTTTACAAATGCTCCCGACTGCCTTGGCAGGCAGCAGAGAAGGAAGCATGTGCTGCTTTCATAGAGTCTTAGTAGGAAAAAGGTCACCAGCTGCTGGTGCTTCTCTTTACTTTTTTGAACCTGTAATTTCTGCTTTATTTCTCTACCTTTTTATGTGATCATCAGTAATGGCTAACATTGGTTTCAGGATGTCTTGCTCCTCTAACAGCAGAGCATATCTCTAGTCACTCATGTCTTACTCATGCATTCATTTTATTATTATTATTATTATTATTATTTTTGAGACAGGCTTGCTCTGTTGCCCAGGCTAGAGTGCAATGGTGTGATCTCGTCTCACTGCAACCTCCACCTCCTGGGTTCAAGTGATTCTCATGCCTCAGCTTCCTGAGTAGCTGGGACTACAGGTGTGTACCACCACACCTGGCTAATTTTTGCATTTTTAGTAGAGACAGGGCTTCGTCACATTGGCCAGGCTGGTCTCAAACTCCTGACCTCAGGTAATCTACCTGCCTCAGCCTCCTAAAGTGCTGGGATTACAGGCATGAGCCACTGCGTCCGGCCACTCATGCCTTCATTCTTGCATTTCAAGTGTGTTTGAGCTTCTCCTGGGAGCTGGGTCTCTTGCCAGGCACTGTGCTGAGTGCTGAGGAGACATGGTGAACAAGATGAGGTGGCTCCTACCTTCATGAAACTACCATCTAAAGGGGAAAGAAAACATTATAAATGGGATGAGTGTGCAGCAGTGCAAGGCGCTGTGGGTATCTGGTCTGGGAGTATTGATCGGGGACCACTTTCCCTAAGGCTCAGTGATGGTTAAAGCTGAGGACTGTTTGTAAAACTCGGGGGTTTGTAAGGTGAAGGACAAGAAACAACTAACCACTTTCTTTTCATCACAGAATCTCGAATCCTGACCTTCTTAGAAACCTACCTTGCCTCAGGTCATCAGAAGCCATTACCCACAGTCCCTGGGGGACTCAGTCCAGTTCAGAGAGAGCTGGAGGAAGTTGCTATTAAATTTGCTCGCCTGGTCAACTATAACAAGATGGTCTTCTGTCCCTACTATGATGCAATCCTCAGTAAGATCCTCGTCCGATCCTAACGTGTATGCACCTACAGCAGCAGTATTACTCACTCGCCGCAGAATACCTGTTCTCAACTCTAATGTTGCATTGGAAAATGGCTGTATAGTACCTGTCTATTCAACAGCACCGATTCCAAAAGGAAGAATATTATGTATCACTGTTGGAAAGATTCGTTGAAAAATGCACTGAATGCTATTTTGAGAGATTGTATTTATGAGTGCAAGTTTACAAATCAAAGAAGATTTTTGTTCTCAAGTTTTGCAGGTAACATTCAGCTGTGTCTCCACTCCTTTCCCATCTTGTCATTCCGAAGAGGCTGGGACCTCTCTCTTCTGCAATCTGGGTAGTTCTTCTTTCAGATACCCCGTGCTGACAGCCATCCAAGCGTAAAAGAGACCAAGCCATGACTTCACCTTTTGCCCTCCCTCAAACAGCCTTGCCCCCGACTCCTCCCTCCTGGTATTTTTTGTTAGAAGGGCTACATAACTTCTTAGTGCCATTTTCTCTCCCTATTTATTGCTCCCAAGCCCTTTGTTCTAGAAGAGAATTATTTGTCTCTTTTTTTTTTTTTACTTTATTTTTTATATTTAAATTTTTTTTATTTTAACCTTCCCCAAAAGACACAGAGTTATTGGACTTTAAAAAGCTTGTTCTTTTATACAGAATTACTCCTGCATCTGGATGACAGCAGTTATGACATCTAGTGAAAGGAAATTCTTTGACTTTCAACCCTTGAAAGTCAAGGAGGAATTTTTTTGAAAAATAGTTTACTGTAATGTGAAGGAAATGTCTGAAATTCTTACTGAAAATTTTACTCTGAGACAATACACAGATGTGTTGATTAAATTAAATTCTGGAATTAGATTTAAGTGTTTTCAGATAAAATAGCTTGAGTTCACGAATCTCCTAGGTAAGGAAGTCAGAAAATCTCTGGTGTTTGAGCATTATTTTTCAAGCAACTTCAGTGACCAGAATTCCTGACATGTCCTCTGACTGTGAGTGATTTGGGTCTCACAGATGATCTGTTCTGTTTGTTTGTTTGTTTGTTTGTTTTAAAGTGTACACGTGCATGTGTGTATTTTAGACAGGAACGTTATATTAGAAGCAGAGCCATGAAGTTGGAATGATCTCCAACTGCCAGAACAGCAAGGGGTCAGACTCTGTTACTGTATGAGTAATGCAGTAATAGCAGCATGTGAAGCCTTCTGGATGGGAAGCTAAGAGAAACTTAGAAGCTGGCTGGGTGTAGTGACTCACAGCTGTAATTCCAGCACTTTGGGAGGCCAAGGTGGGCAGATTACCTTAGGTCAGGAGTTTGAGACCAGCCTGGCCAACATAGTGAAACCCTGTCTCTACTAAAAATGCAAAACTTAGCTGGGTGTGGTGGTACATGCCTGTAGTCCCAGCTACTTGAGAGGCTGAGACCGGAGAATCTCTTGAACCCAAGAGGCAGAGGCTGCAGTAAGCTGAGATCATGCCACTGCACTCCAGCCTGGGTGACAGAGTGAGACTCTGTCTCAAAAAAAAGAAACTTAGAAGCCATTTCAGAAAGACCTCAGGAAGACCAGAAGCCATCCCTGCACACCCAGGGGTAAGGGCTACATTTTACTACTAGCAGCTGTTTTCTCTGAGCCCTCTTTGTAAGGAAATGCAGTGACTGTAAGTTTTCAAGAAAGACTTGAAGAAGCAGTTGGGTGGATATTCCAATAGGACTGATGGGGAGGAAAGAAGATATTCCATGAAAAGGATATTGGTCCCAGTAGAGTGAATACATTCTGCTTTCAGGATTTTCGAGATTGCTGATGGACCCAGGGTTTATATAAGGACTTGGATCTGGCGCTAGGAGCTCAGGTAGAAATTGCATGTATACAGATCAGCATTGATGTTGGTACTAATCTATGATGATGTGATAAATTTAAAAACAACAACAACAGGGCTGGGCACGGTGGCTCACACCTATAATCCCAGCACTTTGGGATGCCAAGATGGAGGGTTACCTGAGCCCAGGAGTTCAAATCTAGCCTGGGTAACATAGTGAGATGACATCTTTACAAAAAGTACAAAAAAATTAGCCTGGTTTGGTGGCACATGGTTGTACTCACAGTTGTACTCCCAGGTACAAGCTGAGGCTGAAGCAAAAGGATTGCTTGTGCCCAGGAGTTTGAGGCTGCAGTGAGCAATGGTCGTGCCACTATGCTCCAGCCTGGTTGACAGAGCCATAGCCTGTCTCTCCTCACCAAAAAGTAGAGCCAGATATATCTTTAGATCCCAGGCAGGAGACTGGAGAATCTGGGGTCACTCTAATCTGGCAGACTGGCCACATTTTGTGAGAGAACTTTTATTTATATTTATTTTTTGTTTGTTTGTTTGAATGTGTTATTTTTGAAGGGGGAGGGAGGAAGGAGTTTTGATCTTGTTGCCCAGGCTGGAGTCCAGTGGCGAAATCTTGGCTCACTGCAACCTCCGCCTCTTGGGTTCAAGTGATTCTCCTGTCTCAGCCTCCCAAGTAGCTTGGATTATAGGCATGCACCACCATGCTCAGCTAATTTTGTATTTTTAATAGAGACGGGGTTTCTCCACGTTGATCAGGTTGGTCTCAAACTCCCAACCATGGTGATCTGCCTGCCTCGGCCTCCCAAAGTGCTGGGACTGTAGGCATGAGCCACTGTGCCCAGCCTGAATGTGTTATTTTTTTTTTTTTAAATAGAAACCATATCACTTCATTTGTTACAGTGAATAATTCAAGAGGGCCCCAGAAAGTTCTTTCATCCACAGAATTACAGAAAGGATAAGCACCCTCACCACCCAAGCGTTTGGTTCATTTGTTTTATTTTCTTTTGATCTCTGTTCTCTTACCACACTGACATGCTGCATCCAGAATGGAACTCTGTCTTCAAGTTTTATGCTAGTTAGGAGGCTAGTCTGTCAGGACATCCCTAATTTAGCTGGGGAACCTGGGAAAGTCTTCCTTGATTTTTGCTTCATCCCAAGTCCCGTAAATGTTTTCTTTAAAAAGCTGCAGGCGAATGATGTAGAATGGACAGAGACATGAGACAGAAATCAGCAGAAGGGCAAAGAGTACGGCTCCCACAGCACTAATAGACAGTAGCCTCCCAAAGCTAAACACAAAAAGCAGTGTGACCACCACATGGCTCCAGGGAGTACATGCCTTTAGTTTCTTCTGTAACATGGGCCACAGGACAGAAACCTGGAGGCAAGTGTTACCATGATGAAGGCATGCAGGGACCAGGGAAGGCGTGATGCCAGCAGCCAGAAGCAAAGGTGGCCATGTTCAAGGATAGCGTGCTGGACACAGTTTCAGTATTGGCACCATAGTCACAGAAGATGAGGTGGCCCAACAGCATGAAGATGGACATGGCATAGATGGTGTCAGTGCCGACAGACTCTGCCAGGTTCTTTAGCACTGGTGAAAAGCCATAAGTGAAAGTAATGAAGACTAGGGCACTCTCCAGGTCAGCCCACCAGGCCCACCCACTTTTCTTCCGCCCTTCACCTCCATCAGTGAAATCAAACAAAACACCCAATCAATGGAGAAGCTAGGCCAGTCCCAAAAAGCCAGTGGGGGACTAGAAGACCCTCATCCATGGAACACCAGAAAACCAGAAAATGACAAACGCTGCACAGCTGCTGGATCACCACACTGGACTCAAGTACCACAATCCAATTTTGGTATTTCCAAGCCTGGATGTTTTTCCGGAGCTCTTCCAGGAACCAGGTCCACTAAGTTATCAGGAAAGGGCTGTTTCTTGTACAAGACCTTCTGCCACTTTACCTCCTTGGTGTCAGTTACAGGTTGGGGACACATTATCCTTTCATTCAGCCTCAGGCCAGTTTAATCATTGGTTTCACAGAAGTCCATGTGGTTCTTGTTCTTGATGATGTTTTGAAATGAGACCTCCCTGGATGTTCCATGCTGTGGTTGATGTTCTACTGACTTTTCCATGTTTTCAAAGGCAGCAATCTAGGCTAGACCTAAAATAAATGAGTTTGTCTCTGAGGCAGGACAGCACAGCCAAGTTCCTGCCCAAGAGTTCCTGGGGATGCGTGGCTGGGGAATGGCGGCCACCTGCCTTTTTCCTTGTGAGGGTACTTTTAAAGAAGAAAATCACGTCTTCTATGGTATGTTTAATGAGGTCACTTCTGGAATTGTTCTCTTGAGGTGGAGGCTGCTGTGTGGCCACTGTGCCTGGTGATTGTATGATCCTGGGTTCCTGGGCTGAGAAGCCTCGGCCTCTGAGTGTTTGGAACCTTTTCCTCCCTTCCAAGGCTGAAGGAGAGGAGCTTACCCCCAACTACACAGCAGCGATCACCGCTTCCTACAGCCATTCTTCCTAAATCTCAAAAACTCTTCTTTTGTAAGAGTAGATTCTTTCAAGGTATTTTTCCCCTCCTGAGTTCTTACATTGCCAGAATTCCATCTGGACAGTTTGAAATCTTGATACATGAATAATTGGCTTCAGAGACTCTCTTGGCCCCCCACTACCTCGATGTCCACTGGTGGAGTTCTGCAACTGGCAAAAGCCAAGAATGAAGGAAGCAAACTTCAGAACCACAATATTCATATTGAATCATTTTGTTGTTGCTCTATGAAGATAAATAAGCTAATTTTCTTCCTGGAATCTCATAGGATTATTGCTAAGGGCCAGGGAGATCCACTTTGTTCATTTAGTCACTCAGGAAGCATTACTAAGCATCCAGCTGTACCTTCCCCTACAGCTCTCCCTCCAAAACAAAACATCCTTTGGAGTGTGGTGTTCTTCAGAATAGAATGGATTCTGTATGCTGCATTCAGTAACAGGTTGTGGAAACAAGTGTCTTTTTCCTGAAATTGCCAGGTGTATTTGGCAGTAGTACTTTGCTACTTGTGGACAGAACTGAGAGTGAGGTCAGTATCACCAAGCCTCTTGGGATTTCTTCAATAGTCTCATGAATGAGTGAATGTTTAGAGCAGTAACTGCTACTTTGTTGGCTCTTGGTTGGGTGTATGGATTCTCAGTCCTGGTGTTTTTAAAAATCTCATTCTGGCTGGGTGTAGTGGCTCACTCCTGTAATCCCAGCACTTTGGGAGGCTGAGGCAGGTGGATCACAGGGTCAGGAGTTCGATACCAGCCTGGTTAAGATGGTGAAACCCGGTCTCTACTAAAAATACAAAAATTAGCCG